AGACTGATTTCTTTTCTATCATAAATAACCTCATACAAATTGAGAGTGACTCGTACAACGTTGTAATGCTAGGAGAGAATTACTGCACGATGATATTGTTTTCAAAATATGCTTCGACGTCGCATACTGTTGTATAGCGCCAACATGAGTTATACTATTTCTAGCATTAAAATATCATGTTTTCTGCTGTATGTGCCTATATGAATTGAGGAATATTTTACTTAAACGTCTGATTTGTGTCTTGGCCTTTTCATCGAACTTGACACATGACTTGAAACTAGAATCTGTGACAAACATGGTGATTTCCACTTTCTAATCGTGTACGTTTCATTTCTCATTAATAGTATACCCTCTGCTCTCTAGTAATCTAATTCCGTTTAAATATCTTAATGAATACGTTACGCTCGTGCATGTTCACACTATATGGACTTCAGTAACAGGAGTGTGCTCCTTACACAAAAACTGTTCTAACAGAGTTCTGAAGAAGAACGGCTGCAATTGCCCCTTGTTATATAGTACCGTCAACATTACGAATTGGTTGACCTAGACGATGTTGCTGCTCCTAAACTCATTAACGACATATTTTCGCGGTCTCAGATCTTAATATACCAGAATAGTCGTCTGATCTATATTTTTACTGATTGTGTACTGTTCTCGATTGTGACATTTTAACTCAGTTGAGGCTCGCATGGCGGGTGATGCATGTAGAGCAGGAGACGCTTATCCTGTCAACACACCCGATCTCGCTCCTTTTGGAGTCCATGCGATTCCGTCGGCTTTTGTTTGCTACCTATATTTGAATTTTTAATCGATTTATGAGATTTGAACATCGGTAACTAATGTTGTCTCAATTTACAAAAACAGACATATCGGCAGCGGTTTTTCTTTTTTATGCCATTTTTTTTAATACAAAAGTTTGTCCAATTGGTTGGACATTTGAAAACATTTCAAAAAGAACTAAAAAAAATCCCTTTCATTTGTGTTTATCTTATCTGTCCCCGTTTTGTGAAAAGTAACATCCGCCGGTAATTATAACCACTTCAACAGTTATGCAAATGAAAATATTACTCATTTGCTGATCTTGAGCAACATCCGTAGATGATAAGAGATATCTTCAAATTGAGAGCATACGATACAGTCTTGATCCCTGTTGAATGTTTGACGAACATAATATGTATACAAGATTTTTTTCACCTCATCAATTTAAATATGTAATAAAAAATATACCTACATGTGCTACTTACGAAATAAATGGGTTCGAAATTTGAGACATTTACTCGAAATCTCAGTTTCTTGGATATCTCTATCCTTCACACAGACATACCTAACTATTTTGTTTCAAACGATAAGCACATGCGAATTTTTGTAAAAGCATTTGGCATATCTTCTTTATGTAAATATGCTCTGAATTTGTGCAACAATTCTTTGGAAATAATTCATTTTATTTAATTTTCATGAAAAAAACGGAAGGAAATTTTTGTTGTATATTTATAAAAATTGGTACAAATATTCTTCACACATAATCAATCCAAATGTCATTTTTAACGAGAACGTCCAGGTACTAGTTTTGGAACTAATGATTAAAATCAGTGAAAAAACATCTTTCTCAGATATGTGACAGTTTGACCTCGCAAAAAATAACATTTAACATTAGCAACGTTATGACCCCTCCCCTTTATAATACAACTGTATCGTATGTACTCTTAGTAATTTGTTGGAGCAACAGAGAAAAGTGATGTATATATTATATATATATTTGGTGCCACGATACTTCAGTAGCACGAGTTCGAATCCCGGCCAGGGAAGAACAAAAAATTTGCTTCAGGAAATTTACAGATCTAACATTGTTGGGCTGTTGTTTAGACGAATTATATATATACAGAATGTATTTTCAGCCTTGTATCACCATCACTGCTGGTGATCCGATGGATACAATCTGTTGTAGAGTCGTCACTGGTTCAGATGTACTTATAATATATTTATTTCTGTGATTGCATCTTACATTAATTTGTAGGATCCTTTACAATAGATAATTAAGCTGATATGTAACAATTCCATCTTCATGCCTTATATAGCATGTACTGTGTTACGACGCTAGATAAATACTGACGAGGAAAGGTAACACCCGGCCACCGAAAGCTTTATTATTATAGAGCCTAGGTGGTCGAGTGGTCTAGCGCGTCGGGCATAGTGCAAGGCGATTTGGTACCACGATATCCCAGTAGCATGAGTTAGAATCCCGGCCAGGGAAGAACAAAAAATTTGCTTCCGCAAATTTACAGATCTAACATTGTTGGGCTGTTCTTTAGACGAATTATATATAAGGTTAAAGTAATATACGTTATCCGGTACACAGTGTATTTAAGAATCGTACAGTGATATCAATCGTTGGATCTAAATTCAATTATTAATAAGGTTGTATCCGTTTAAGGAAAATCGGATCAGGTTAAATAATGGTGTAACTTCATAAATCAATATGTGAATAACGGTGTTCATATTTTTTTCTTTTAAATCATTATTATGTTATTCAGGTATTCGGTTATCGTAATAATCAATAAGTTTAAACTTGCTTTCGCTTAGATTGTTCTAGACTCCTTTATTCATAAATGGTTTCTGGTGGGGTTCTTATTGTTCAATATTCAGTTGCCTGTGTTGCGTTTTTTTTTGGTATGGATTGTGTCTTCGTATTTTTCTTTATGATATGATTTCGCCCGTCTTTCTTTCATTTGTTTTATTGTCTCCTAAATAGTATCTTCTTTTTTAGAGACATTTAGTTAGATATGCAGAGACAAAATGGTTTTAAATACAAGTTTATATTTGTTCCCTTTTCACCTAGGAACCTATATTTCAGCGCTTGTCTTATTATCGAAATTTCAACCATCCTCAATGCCTGTTATGTTGTTTTGGCTCTGGTCATAATATATATTTTATTGCAGTGGGAAATATTGTAAGTATTGACGCGTCTAATTAAACATAAAATGCTGTTCAAAAACACAGTTTGAAACAAAATCACTGAATATGAAACGCTTGTCCCTCATGTTTCCTCTTTTACCACAATCGACTTAATTTTATTGGATAAACTAAACCTTACATACTATGAAGATTCGCGTGACGAGAAGTGCATAGCAGGAGACGCATACCTTGTCCTCGCAAACGGTCCCATTTCGATTGTACGCGATTGAAAGTTTTCTATGTCGTGTTTTGTATATTGTTGTTTGTTTTTTGGTCTTTTTTTACCATGGCGTTGTAAGTTTATTTTCGTTTGAATGTACCTTTGGTATCTTTCGCCTCTTTCTTCTATAGGTTTGCATTTGCATTTGCAATGGAGTTCGGTATGTAGGCGTTTGTTTTTGTTGCAGTTCAGTGTTTCTGTTGTTCCGTTGTTTTCCTCTTATAGTTGATGTGTTTCCCTCGGTTTTAGTTTCTAACACGGATTTGTTTTTGCTTAATCGATTGATGACTATTGAACAGCGGTATACTACCGTTGCCTTTATTTATCAAATATATGACATATTTCACTTATGTATCTAGACATTAAGCTGATATATCCTCCTTTCGCTAGTTTTTTGTAACAAGGTAGAATCGGTCTGATGTCCTGTTTATTATATTTGGTGTTTTCTCTTTTCATTTCTATGTAATACCTATTTGGGAGCGTGCGTGGATTGTTTGTTTTATAATCGTTTTATTTGTGTAATTCCTAAGAATGTTCATTTCCTGTTTATAAATATACTAAAATTTCTCTCACGGTGTTGTATTTCTATTTAAAGGAAAATTAAATTCTTTTAATTTATTTGTGTCTCGCTTGTGTCCATTACATGTAAAATCTCACATTTCCGCAAATCGAGTACTTTGACTAAGTTACTTCCGATCTTTAAACCTATATTTAATAGCACTTCAATTATGCAAACAACAATACATTTCAATTTCCTGATCGTGGGCAGCCTCCGTTGATTATAAAATATCTATTTTTATCTGTTATTAGAGGACATAATTGTTTGTTTCAAATTGAACTACTGAATAATATCAGATTTGAAAACACAATCAATACAAGGTCTATTCAATTTAAGGTATTCTGAGTCGACTAACATTTACTGCAAGATTTTTAGTGTTTTTAATTCGATTAGAAATGATGATTACTTAAAAGGATACAACATCAGAATTAGTATTTGTTTTAGGCATCTATGGCCTGGTAAATGGAGTAATTTGATAAAATTGATCTGTAAAAAAGAAGTCCTGTTGTACAGAATAATCTCAGTAAAACGACAAAATGATATAAGTAGCATCGAGCATCTCCCATTGATTGTTTCTCTCCATTTTATATTAAATCTTATTGAAAACATAATCAACAGTACCGATGAAGCATACCAAATTTACTATGTCATAAAAGATTGACACAACATAAACTCTCAAGAGTGCTCTAAAAAAGCAATAACATATTTTGTTTTCAAACAAATACGTACAAGTATTTGTTTTGCATTTTATATATATTTAAGTTAGTTTTCCTCACTAACACTAAATTCGCCCTCTTACTTCTTGCTAAAGACACAATAGACAGCATCTCTAAAAACAACCAATCAGCCTAAAACTGGATAATGAACAACATCCATTAAAACCTTGGATACAGTTATGTTCAGATTGTATAGATAGTGTATCGTTGAAGACTGTATGTTGTTCTTTAGATGTATGTTGATATTTTTGTTGACGGGTTGCTATCTCTTTGCATATACCCCATTTCTCTTCTCTTCTCATTGTGAAGATAAATAAATACGTTTTGCACTGCTATACATGACAGTTGCTAGGTAAAATCAAGATTTTGCATTATTATCCAATCATGCTTTTATAAATTATAATTTTACAGAACAGAAATGTTGCAGTTATGGACTCTACTGTCCTAATTCCGATTAAGATATGGAAACACTCATTGACAATCATACCACATCTTCTTTTTTATATATCATTTCCGCAGAGCGTTGGTATTCAAATGTTCATGGAATATATACTGTCTTTCTAATGTATTTTATCAAATTTTTCTAAAAGTATGTACAATATTGATTGATTGTTGGTTGCTTAACGTTGCATCAGCACATGTACAATAGTATAAAAACATTATATAAAGTTATGAACAATAGAATAAAACATTATATAAAGTTATGAACAATAGTATTAAACATTATATATTATACATATTGTTTTATCAACGCATAAGTACAATTGTGTATTTTGAATTACCAGTTCTATAAATGTCTGTAAAAATACATTAAAAAGCTATAAGTAAAATAACAAAAATACCGAATTGCAAGGGAAATTCAAAACGGAAAGTCCTTTATAAAATGGCAAAATCAAAAGCTCAATCACATCTAACGAAAAGGAAACAACTGTCATATTCCTGACTTGGTACAGGCATTTCCTTATGTATTAAATGGTGGATTAAACCTGGTTTTATAGCTAGGTAAACCTCTGACTTGTATAACAGTCGCATTGAATTCCATTATATTGACAACAATGTGTGAGGAAAACAGACAGACATAATAGGTAAAAACGTCAAAAAATGGTGTACAGCAGTCAACATTGTAATAATAATCTTAATCACTATAAAAACATATAACTGTATCAACAAAGAAACACAAAATGTATATTCAATTTGTAATTAAAAAAAATATACAATTAAAACATAATTAATACCTATAAAAAGTAACATAAAAGTATATATATTGTTAACGATAATACCTGCAATATTTAAATTTCTGAGCAGTGCATCAGAGGGTGAATAACACGAATAATGCATAATATGGGGTATTGGAAAATAATATCTCTAACTTAAAAACTAAAAACAGTCATGCATACAAACGAAGAATTTCAACACAACAGAATTGTGTCATGTTTGTTGATGCTCTCTCTCTCTCTCTCTCTCTCTCTCTCTCTTAAATATTTTAAATGCTCATTAAGAAAATAAGGTACATAACAACAGTTGAATGGTTTTGCTTTATTGAAAACCTTTGAAATAAAAAAATTGATGTGTCATTCTTTACAATGAAAAAAGATAAGTCAGATATAATGCTTTGTGATTGAGTATGTTTTAATTCTCTGTTGATAAATTATCAAAAAGAAACTGTTCAACACACCATCATGAAAATGCTATCTTAGAGGGATTTTGCTATTTATTTCTTGTCTCTTTTAGTTACCCCTGTCCGTCCATCTTGATATAGATACACGATATGTCCGACTATCTCCTCCTACAGTTTTTGAGCTACAGTTTTACTATTTTGTAGGATGTTTCTACACATACTAGAGGTGTTGTCCACAGGATTTTAATTTTTTTTCAAATATTCTAAAAATACCAGGTATTTAGTCATTAAGGTCCTCACGTATTCAAATACTTATATATCCTATACTTTCAAAATTTTGGATGTGAGCGTTCCTGATAAGGAAGAATTCGGAAAAGCAGTTCGGTCGCACCAATAATGTGTAAATTATATATTTTCCTTCTGAACAGTATCATGATAAACGTACCCGTAACTGTATCTACTGAACACACAAATAAAACCTTAAATTGAAGCAATTGAATAAAGAAATAAAAGCAAATCTTTGTCTTTGCATACTATTCCAATAACCAACATCGAAACTCTGAGACATTGATGGATAAAAACTAGACTACTACCGAGGTAAATATCAATCAATGATGATTTGTAAAACTGTACATTGTAATAAAAATATTCTTTAAGGATGTTCGCTCCTCGGCTTCAAAATACAAGCCTTTTAAAAGACTATTATAAATGGAAAGAATATAGAAAAAGGAACTTGAACATTAGAAAAAAATGATAGGCCAGTGTCCTTGTTTTTGAGATATAATAAATTGAAAAGTTGGCGGGAAATTATTCTCCCTAGATTTTTCATACATTTAACATTGGGACCTGTTTTCTTTCAAACATTAGAAAAAAATGATAGGCCAGTGTCCTTGTTTTTGAGATATAATCAACTGAAAATTTGGCGGGAAACTATTCTCCCTAGATTTTTCATACATTTAACAATTGGATCTGTTTTCTTTCAAAAACAATGAATAATTAACAAGGATTTTATAAGATTTTCAAAAATGGAGTTTTTAACTATATGTTATAAAATTATGAAAAGAAAAGAAGTTGTAAGCAAACAATTTTTTTATTTGCACTATATGTATAAAACTAGAGGATTCCGAATATCTGACAAAAAGTCAAAAACAAGGGTAGCGAACATCCTTAAAAAAGTTGTAAAACTGGCTGCCATTAAAAAAGATTTTTGACACTAATAAAAAATTATTAATGGTGAATGCAAACCTAAAATGAACAATGTACAGAAGGAGGCCCCAACATGATTAAAGAGTTACAGTTTGCTATAAATAATGGTTAGAGGATACAATAAAATTAGCTTTCCATTTGCAAATTATCGACTAACACCTCTTTAACTGAGATGCCATTCCCACTATTTTGAAAAGAGCACTACAAATGCTGATTTTGAAACATACATTGCAATATTGTATACCACATGATAAGCCTAACATCTTTGATTGATATTGTACAATATGTAACAATAGATGAATTGAAGATGAGTTTCATTTTATTCTTATATTGAAAGATAAACGTAAACCATATATAAAACAATACTTTTGGAGAAAACCGTAAACTTTAAAACTTGTTCCCTTATTATCAATACAAAATGTAAAAGAATTTAATTATAAAGGGAAATAATTGTTTGCTGCTGAAAAACTTATAAATGTTGTGTATCATGCTCCGCTACTATTATTATACAATTGTATTTCAATATTATTCGCTATATTTTACTGTTTATACATGAAGGTGTGTATTAAAATTTAAGTTATATTTTGTTATATGTCTATAAGCTGTATTGCTTTGGGAAATAAAGTATTATAGGGCTTTTGTGTTTTTAATGCACGTCTTTAATAAATTTTTAGCCTGATATCTTTGAAAAGATTGTTCAAGAAAACTTCAATTTAAAACGTCAATAAAGAGCAGAAAAAAATATGCTTCCTTATTTTAAAAATTTGTTAGTGTTGCTGATTAAAAGCAAAAATATCTTTAAACCATTCGACTAAATGTTCCTGTTTCACTTGTTTGAAAGTCCATTAAATGTATATATCTATTAGGCAGTCGTCACCAAGTTAACATTTTCTATCTTTCGTATCTACAAATTGATTATTGTTTTTGTGTGAAACGAAGACTCCAATGTAAAAGTAACCTCCTCTTTCATCATCTGGCATGCAAAAATAAGCACAAAAAGTGACAACAATTGGTCGGTACAGCATAAATAATGCAATCATAATCATCCACTGATAAGTAAAAGCCTACAAAATTCGGTATACCTCATCCGTATTAGTTTAAACATTGATATACACGTGAAACAAATAAACTTAAAAAATAAGAAATTGCATGACTGGTGGTAAAATCATTGAACAAGACGATTGTGATATTTAACAAATTTACAGCACTTGTTATATCAACTATTCTAAAAGATGATATACGTTTATGTACGTGCATGTCGTATAAAATTTCATTTAAAACGTTTTTCTCCAATAAATTGTTGCAATAACTACCATTTTGATCTTAAGGAAGATCACAACAACGAAAGTATCAACCCTATAACTTATAGCAGTACTGATACTACAATGTCATTGTCTTTTTGTCGCAGAAATTTTCAGGTATTACTGTTTCAATAATCTACGGAATATCTATTGTTGGAAAGACAATCTCTAACCTACGAAGTATATATTGCTGGAAAGATAATCTCTAACCTACGAAGTATATATTGCGGGAAAGATAATCTCTGGCATCATTTGTGATCGAATAGTGCTTTTGCCTTGTGTCTTTTGTTGTGTGAAATGAAACAGTCTTCACTAAAGAAGATCAGATCATGTGATTTCACCTAGAACGTTATCATCGCATAAATTATTGCCATAACCACCACTAAGATGTTTTTCAAGGTCATGATGGCAAACGTATCCATCTTTATTGTTGTTAGTACTGGCATTTATGATGTCATTGTCATTCTTGTTTGAGGATGTTTCTTGTACCACTTCTGCATCATTGTTCGGATTATTTGTTGCTGGATGAATACACTCTGGCATGATTTGTGATCCATTATTTATTTTGCCATCTGGCATAAGATGGATAAAATCATTCGCTAAGTTATTTTTGATTGAATGTATTGGAATATGGACATTAGTAGCGTTATCTTCACAACTCAAACTGCAATTATTATTTTTCCTTATTAATATTGGTGGTGTGACAGATAAAGACTCATCAAGGGATGACAAAGGATGGTTGCGTAGTACAGAATAGTCTAGATCTTCAACAATGTTAATCGAGGTTTTACCATCAATTCTTTTGGTAGGACAACTTCTTTCATCAAGACATTCCATTGACTCCGATGAACTATAACTTTTAAGACCTCCCACCAACGAATCATTCGGAAGACAGCTTCCAGGATATATCTGTAAGGGAAGGTGTGTTATATATCCACTGGTTAAAACACTAGAGCTGTTTAGCTGGCTAGCTAATATATTTTCTGTTGAACAGTTAACGCTATCTAAAGGAGAGCAGGTTCCAATCCCCGAACTTAACAGGTCGGGTGTATTGACAGGGAAACATTTATTGGAAACATATCCACTATTTGAAGATACTGTTGCTGGATGTTTGTTTTGAATATCATCACCTTTGTTGTCACCCTGATTTTCTTCTTCTGAACTATCTAGTTCTAATTGTATTTCGTTATTTTGGGTGGTGAAAGATGGATGTGACAAATGTTTGCTGATTTTCTCAAAATCATTTAACGAACTTGAAGCAGATCCTTCAAGGATGTCTTTAGGTCTTTGGTTGGACTTTTCAGGGGATTCATGTTTCGTCATAAGTAGAGAAGAAAGGCAGGAAACAGGAAACAACGGAAACAATGAACTGGCAGAATATTCTGGTGCTGAATCATCTGGTATGGACAAAGAATCTTAAATGATAACAATATGTCTTAATAACATATGATTTATGTATTGACCATTATACGTATTTACAATTTCAAAAGAAGACTTGTTTGTTTAATCCTTATAAAGTGTATATATCTGACGGATGTTATTTGGTAGATTTATAATCATCATAAAAAAGTGAAGACCTTTTTTACCATCTCTGTTTGTTTTTTTAAACATATACAAATACCATCAAATATCTTCAAATTATCACACACTTAAATGTTTTCTACATATATATCGATGTAAGGGGAATGTATTAAAAAGCCATGCGTATCTTTTGCATTCAAAACAAAAAGGTCTATCAATCACATCATTCATATCTAATAAGAATCTTCTTGTCAAAATAATGTTTTAAATATTGTCTTTAATTTTTGCATAAGGTCCTATTTTTCTCTGACTGTTTTGCAATTTTACACTTAATCCATAGGATGTGTGCTGATTCACATGAGTCTGGGAAACGTTATTTATTTATTAGTTGTAATTTGCCTTAAAATAGCTTACAGTAACACTGAGTACTCTTAGATCGTACTTTGTGTTTTACTCTTTTTTGTTTTTGAGTAGATATGATGTCATTTTTTATAGTTTGATTTATGTTCTGATCTTACACCATTGTTCAAGGTTTCGGAGTCAGGAATCTGGAATTCAGTGGTTGTCGTTTGTTCCTTTCTATCATTTTTGTAAAAAAAATCAAGCCGCTAGTTTTCTCGGTCTAGTTGTTTTACTTCCTGTCATACTGGAGCCTTTTATAGCTTCTTAATAAGTAAAATCACAAAAATACTGAACTCCGAGGAAAATTCAAAACGGAAAGTCCCTAATCAAATGGCAAAATCAAATGATAAAACTCATCATGCATAAAGCTACCAAGTTAATGATGCCCTTGGGGAATAATCCACCAGCAGCAAAGTTTCTTCTAGGAAGAACCTTGACATCGACTTGGTTGTAGTAAAAAGTAAAATCACCAAAATGTGGACTCATTTATTTTCGTGGGTACCAATTTTCGTGGACTGAGCAAAAATTGTATGTTCTTGGAAAGTTGATTTCGTGGTTTTGCCAAAATCTGCATACAATCCAATAGAAAATTTGTATTTCGTTGAACATTAAAATTCGTGATTCACCTTTACTCACGAAATCCAGGAAAACTGATTTCCCACGAAACAAAATGAATCGACAGTCTACATTATGTGTTTTGGGTCATTTTAAAGTCATTACGGTATAAGTTGCGTACATCTACGACATTTGGTTTCTGGTTGGCAGTTGTCTCGTTTGCCTTACATATTTTTAACAATACTTTTTTCTTTCATTTAATACAAAGAATTAAAAATTGCCTCAGTTTGAGATTTTATGAAACAATAAGCTATTATTGAAATGGCTCTGCTAGATTAAATATAGATACGATTACATGCTTTTGACGACTCAGTAACACCAGAAAGGCCATATCTGTAGTGATATGACCTGCATATTCCTTTACCTTAAAAATGAACAGAGTTTTAAATGAATTGGAGTTTTTAGTGGTTAGTGCTTGAGTATAAGCACGTGTAATTACATACCTTTCTGAGTGTAAACATTTACTATAGATGGGTTTGCCTATCTTTTTATGTCCCTTTTGGTTATAACGCGTCTGAAGTTTTCAAGTACTTGTGTCTCCTTGGCTTTCACGTTTTGTTTAAGGCTTGAGCGTTCCCAATAAGGCTCATCTAGAAAAGACCTTAGGGTTCACCAAAGTTATAGTTTTTATTTCATTTTACTGCTGTTTTGTAATGGGGGTTGTCATGTCTCGTTCTTTTAAATCAATCAGCCTGTTCTAAATCGAACATCATATTCGGAAAAACTTACTTTGGTGTTGTATCGAAGTATTCAGATTGTCAATTTCAGCTATATCGTTTCGGGAACAATATCCTGTCTCAGCATGTTGATTGGTGTTCAGATTAATTTCATCAGTGGTAAATGTTGGACTGTGAAAACTAAAGCTGGTCTGTTCTTCACTATCCACTGATTCACTAATAGTGGGTACTTGGTTTCTGTTTTCTTCACTTGAAATGTCCTAAAACATATAAAATATTCTTAAATACAAGAAAATTATTGAAATGTTTTGTAGAATAAGAGGGCTTTATAGTTCTACAAATGCTTTTTGTAATGAAAGAATTTGTAATTGATTGACTTGTTACCAAATTATAATATTTTAATTGAAAAAAAAACAGTTGTGAGTACTGAAAACTTCAAGTAACATCGTCAATCTTGAGTCTAGCTTTCTAAAAGATATAAACTTTTAATATCAGAAGTCAAATATATTTTGTGTTTCATCTTTTTCACCAATATTTTATCTCTGTGGAATATGAAATAGAATGTGAATAATGCCAAACCCCCTTTTTTAATAAGAATAAATAAGAATACATAACGAAAAATACCAATAAAGCCGATTTGACATACCAATGATTTATTGTCTTGACCATTTAAACCCAGTTTTAAGGTGCAGGGCCTGTACATTCCACTTTTTTCATTCCTCTGCAAGCAAAGTCATATAATAATAAACGGATCAATAACTGATCATGAAGCTCGTTAAATTTTTTTGTTATGAAATGATAAGCTTCAATAACATCGATTTTTGCTTCTCATATTGTCTGATAATATATGAAGCTGACTGACGTATTTTATTTTAAATTTTACGCAATCTTGATTTGTTTAATAGAAGAAAAAAATCAACACTTTTCTCAAATAAAACAGGTTACCTTATATCATTGAATCCATTGTTACATCAATAATGGTAGGTGTAAATACTCAGTTAAGATATCAGGGTTATAATTTGTTTCGCCAGACTCGCATTTCGTCCTCATCAGACACATCTGTGGCGCTCGAATTAAAACAGTTGTAAGGTCAAATCATACAAAACCGTTATACTTGATTGATTATTGACAATATATTATTTTCAACCATTAAAAATCTCACAATTTGTTACCTACCTATTCACTTAAAGTTAGATGGCATTAGCATCTGTACGTTTTATTCTGTACTATTACATTTTGAATTATTTGCAATATAGAATAACCAATTTAAGTTATCAAGCAGAAAACCATTTATATATATAATGCCTTACATTAATTGTTGGTACATCTATGTCAAACGGTTTACTCATTTCCTTGATCTTTCCACACAAATCAAACCTATAATACAACACATCATATATTATACCCTTGATAAGACCAATTCTAAATTTCTTATATTTTTTGGAACTACGAAGTGGATCAATAAATGCATTTTTCTATTTTGCTTTAACAAGACCAGGCAGTTCTCCTCATTCTACTTCCTCTTTTAAGGACATAAGATCATTTAAAACTACTATGTAATTGTCAAATATTACACTGATAGTAAGAAGCAATATTACAATTTCATATTTTTTTTCCAAAGCATTCTTTTTAAAATAGCAGGATGTTTCATTCTTCGAGAAACAATATAATGTAACATACCTGATCTGTGCTGCTAGTATAAATATCACTAACAGTATTAAAACTAAAGGTATTCCAATAGCAGCTCCTAAGTATTTGAAACTTGTTTCTGAAAAAAAATAGCTTTCCAAATATATTGCTATTATTTCAGAAGAAGACAATATTTACTAGTACCTTATAATTCAAATTCAGACCATTCAGCATTGAGCGCGGGATCCGTCATGGGTGTCCCGCGAGTTCTATAATGTTGGTTATTCATGTTGAAATTTTAGCCTGTAGATTAAGACAAGATAAAAATTTAAAGGTTTTCAAATAAAACTAGAAAATAAAACCTATACTCTAAAGTTAAGCCAGCTTGCAGATGACACCCCTTTATTTTTAAATTCAAAACAAGAAGTTTCATTAACTTTGAACATTATCAAAATGTTCGGATCAATTTCAGGCCTAAAGCTTAATCGAAATAAAACAAAGGGGATATGGCTCAGAAATTTAAACTCCTGTAAAGATAAAGTTGAAAACATTAAGTGGACACAAGAACCGATAAAAGTATGAGGAATATATTTTGGACTTAATAAAAATGAGTGTATAAAAACTAAACGTGCAAAGACAATACGAAAAATCGGAAAAAATAATTAAAGACTGGAATAAAAGAAAATTAACTATGTTAGGTAAAATAACTCTTGTTAAATCACTAATCTTACCAAATATAACCTATGTTGCACCAGTAACAGAAATTGATAAAGAATACTTCGCAAAATTAAAAAAAATATATATAGTTTTATATGGAATAATAAACCAGAAAAAGTTAAAAGAGTTATAATAAGTAAAAATTATCATGCTGGCGGGCTTAAAATGATAGACATAGATAAATATATAGCATCCATAAATATCAATTGGGTAAAAAGACTCGTTGATAATGACGACTCATCACCCAATTGGAAGTCTTACTAAAATTGTACTTAGACAAATTTGGACAAGAATTCCTTATATTTAAAATGGAATTTAACAATATTAATTTGATTAACAAACTAAAAGAAATTGTTCAAGAATTTTACTTAAACATAATCATATCATGGATAAATTCAAAATCTGAAAAAAGAATCAGATCGACTAACATATAAACATATCAGACAGCAACTAATATGGGGCAATAAGCATATCAAATTAAATGGCAAATGTCTTCTTTTCAAAAATTGGATAAACAGTAAAATTTTATTTGTAAATGACATAATTGATGATATAGGAAAAAATAATCAAAATAAGATTTTAGATAAACTATCTTGCCATTCTAATTGGTTTTCGGAATATACTAAATTGACGAAAGCAATACCAAAACAGTGGTTACAAGAGCTAATAAAAGAAGAATCAATTAAAACAAAAGTCGCTACCGACTCCAAATTTAAATTCAAAGATAGAGAAGGAAAAATGGTACCAATAAAAATATTTTCCTCCAAAGATATTTACATCTCCCTTTTAAATAGATATTATGAGAAAGCAATAGGATTTCAAAAAATGGGACAGATTTCTTAATGTAGATAACAATACAAGGAAAAGAGAACAAATGTTGTACTTTATCTTTAACTATATCCAAGATAATGAATTGAGAATGTTAAGATGGAAATTTCTACATTACATTTTACCAAGCAAACAATTACTTTTCTCTTGGAAAATAACTAAAACTCCTTTATGTAATATATGTAATGTCATTGAAGATTATGAACATTACTTTTTGACATGCAAATATCTGAAATCATTTTGGGATCAAATAAAACTAATACTAGACAAACTTAAAATAGGACATCATATAATATCACTTGCATTACATTTGTATGGATACAAGACAAACGATACAAATTATTACAATATTAACGATTTTCTAACAATCACACTTTTTACTATATATAAGGTATATTATACACGTATATCCGAGCAGAAAACAAAACAAATTAATGTGTTTGAAATTTTTTTTAAAATGAACTTCTCCAACATTACGAAATATTGAAAAATATAAAAACTTCTACAATTTAGTTGCAGACAAATATTAATTTATCTTCTTTAACTAAGATTTATAATATATCATATTAATTTCTTTTTATTCTGTTACACATTAGCAAAACTGTATATTGTGCACTAACAAGTACTACCCTTATCACTGAAATGCTATAACGAGGCCGGGATAAGGTACCGGTATTTTATGTATCTCTAACAAATGTACATTTCAAATAAAATTACATAGAATTTAAAAAAAAAAAAAAAAAAATATAATCCAAATTCAAACTTATATAGTTGAAAATAATGTGTATATAGAATCAACTTTTTAATTCCATTTCTGACAATACCAGTACTAAGATATGTTCATGTAACCTTTCTTTGTGTAAACATTTCCTCATTGTTTAGTGGAGTGCATAATCCAAATATCCGTTACGAATTATTAACGGATTTTGATAAATTTTACACAACAGATGTCACTAGTGAAACAGGTACTATGTAACCTCTTTCAGAGCACATGCGTTAATCGTTTGTCCTGTTTGTGTTCTAAGTGGTTGGTTTCATGTACGGGGGATTGTTGAATGTTGGTAATGGTTCTCTTTTTCATGAGATTGTTTGTTGTTCTTCAATGTAATTTGAATTAATAAAAGCGAGGCGATCCCTCTTCAGGAAATGGTAGATTACTCCTTCATATTCGGGCTAGCCACACATGCCTAAATGTCAAATGATTAGAAGAAACTTACCGGGCTGTAATGGATCCATTGTTGTAACATTGTAATTTTTCGTTCCCTCTGCACTTTGTTTTCCATCAGACGACACTGCCATTAACCAAACGACATACCTAGTTCCACTCCTAAGGTTTCTTATGATATATTTCATTTGTACTTCAGTAATAGATGTGTTGACTCTCGTAGAGGTATTTGTACCTAAATAAAGTGATCATATTGTGTATAAGTTGACGGAAGGCAACGGTTTTGAAAGCCATTTATAATGCCAACTATGATCACGGGGTTATTCAACAGTTGGTTGATCAAAATGCTCCTTTTTTAATTCTAAACTTTGTATTGTTTTGTATTGGTTGTTAACAAAATATTGTTTTCTAATAAAAAAAAATCCCAGTTTCGTTCTGGTTAAGTGACATTCTTATTTGAGTTAGTCCTGCACATTCGCTCTTTAAACATGATTTGTTCATCTGGCATGAAAATTCAAAACCTTATAACTTGCTACCTTTTACAAAATCAGGGAGTGTAAACTTGCAGCTTTGAATTTTCTTAAATCTGCACTGGATGATCCAAAAAACCATTTTAACAAAATAAATGTTTAAAAGCTTCTTTTATCAAATTACGGCCTCCATTTTCAAATTAAATTTGCTGTACATTAAATCTTTCAAAAATGACACACCACTTTTTTATGGTTCCATTTGATGACGAAAATCGAATATACTTACCAAATATACATTCATCACCTATTTCGGCAAGTTGGCACCAATACAAAATATAAAATTTAACAAAAGGTGAACGTTCACAAGTCCCTGGTCTTGTCCAAACAACTGTTATCGATTGTTGATCATGATTCTGCACATTTACACTATTTGGTTTTTGTGGAACTGCAACAAGTGAAACAAAAATAACACAAATTTGTAAATATTATAATAACAAATAAGGATTTAACATTGTTTGTACTTATAGATCCCTTCAACATAAAAGCGGGAACAGGGGGATAAACAATATGCATTGAATTTGACGTATTCATCTCACGCAATGTCTTTTCACATATATTGTGTTACATTTTACTGTCACACTGTAGATATAAAAGTAAGACAATAATTAATATGAAAAAATAGATAATTGTTTATCATAGTTAACAGTGATTACAACCGATTTTGATCGAAACTGTTTTATACATATATCGTTCTTCAGAAAAAGAAAAAAAAAATGGTTTGATATTTTGAATTAGTTCTATACTTGTGTTTTGAAGAGTACACGTTGCACCTGAGATCAGCCTGGTTTTTTTTTGGTGACGTTCGTATTGCTCAGTCTTTAGTTTGTAAAATGTAGTGTTTTGTATACTGTTGTTTATCTAGTCGTCATTTGAAATATTTTGTCATAATTTGGCCGATCTCTGTTCGACTCATGAGTATTGATTTTCCAATATCGTACGTCCCTATTATTTGTAAACAGCTTTACATCAATTGGAAATATGTTAGTACTTCAAAGTTACACATCTACAAAGTTAAAAAACAAAGTTGCACAAATATTGGTTTTTGATGCATAAGATGTGAATTCAAACAGGAATTCTAAAAAAGAAAAGACAATACATCTTTCCGTTACACTCTCTTTAAATTGTTTCTCTTTTATTGCCTTATTCCGTTGTATTAATTAGTGTGTTTTATAGAATTACTTAGAAAGTATCTGCAATAATTTACCTTCATTTCTAATGTAATAACAACTTTTCCATGAGAACCCTGTACTTCCGTTTTCCCTATCCATTGAAACACCAAATAAATAATTCTTTTCAGTATCCAAATTATCTACAGTATACGAAGTTTCATCAACTGAGATAGTTTTCCATTGAATCTGTTTCTATATAAATATAAAACATATTTACATGAAATAAAGGTTTGATAGTTTAAAAAAACAAGGGCTGTCCATGGCAGAGGATTCTTTGAAAATCTCTGGAATATCAGCTTAAATTGAATTTTGGTGAGTTGTTTGCTTATTACTAAATGAGGTTTGCCCAATCGTCATAAGAGTCAGTGTCATTCATTTGTTAAAACATACATACACATTGCCTCAATTTTCCCAGATTGTGATAATCTGAGGGAGTGTAGATGCGCATTTTATTTAATGCACGCAAATCAAGAACGGCTTACCCTGTCAACGAACCCGGTCTTTTTCCTTTTGGGAGTTAATGGGATTCCCTCGGTTTTTAATTTGGTTACCTTTATTTGGCTTCTCAATCGATCAAAGAAATTGAACATGTAAAATACTGTTGCTTAATGTAAAGTGTCAATCTATATATGTTACCTCACATCCATTCGTTCTTTCACACCAGTAAATAGTATAATTTTTTACTCCTCCGATATTTCTGTCTTGCCATGATATCAAAATATCTGTGTTTAATTTTTTTTCAAGTAAAAATTCTGGAGGCTGTAGGGTGTCTACTGTAAAATGTTATTGTTATAGTTAATAAATTTATTTATTCAAAAAATGTATTTTAATAGTAAGAATTTTAGACACTTAATGTTTTTTTATATTTTCTTTTCGAAAGCTATTATTTTACCCTTTATTTTCTAGGTGTCATAGATAAAAAAAACTCGACATGAATGTACATATTTGTAGTACAAAAAATAATAATGAAACTAAAAAGTTGGTTGCACCAGACCTGATATTTAATATATAAAGTTGACTTCATATGCAAATTGGAAACAAATTCAAAATTATTTCTTAATGTATAACACTTTTGGGTAAACTGTATAGCAAGTCTAAATGAATTTATTCGCAGCCTTTAATTTTGGCCATAATGCTTTGTTACAGTTTCTTCCATTCTTCCATTGTTTCTAAATCATGTAACTAACATAGTCGAATATCAAACAAATATGATAGTCATTCCAATGAAATAATTGAAAGAAAACAAATACAGATGTATGGTATACGCCAATGATACAACAACACAAAGACATGAACACTATTTGTACATGTACTGATACGCATTTTGGTCGATACATCTGCTGGTTGACTATCAGTCCCGAGGGTATCATCAGCTCAGTAGTCAGTTCTTCGGTACTGACATGACTTATAACAAACCTTTCTGAAATTGTCCGTTATTAAGTTTTGAAATTATAAAGGAACTAAGGTTTCAACTCCCTCAGGCAAAGTTGACCGTAAATGAACTTTGTTATTTTTATTTACTTTTTGGTTATATAGGTCCGCAACCGTTTTGGGTCATATACATCCTCGGCTTTCAAATATTCGGCTTTGGGCGTTCCTGATGAAGGTAAATCCAGAAAAGCGCTTTGGCTGAATTAAATTGATAACGTGTTGTTTTCAATTTTTTTGTGAACATTATAGACAATCATTATTCTTTATCCGTTCAATGTCAGAGAATAACAGTTTTTGTGACCATGCTAAAAGAAATGAATATGATGTACAACATTATAAACTTTGTGTCTTTGGTGTTTTTTTTTTTTTTTATTTTCTAAAATACGTTCGTTATTCATTTACAATAATGATTTCCACTGAAAGTATTTTTGAAATTAAAAAAAATTATCCAGAAAATACAATTTACATTGATGAAATGTGCCATTTGATTTGTTTCTTTTTTGATATCAAGTTTTTTTTTAATTTGTCTTGTTATTTACGTCACTGTGACTGACATTTTTCGCATTTATAAAAAAACAATATAAAAAATTCAAACACAAAATTGAAAAATGATTTTGATATATATAATGGAACTTTCATTTAATAGAAATTAAACAGTAATGTTATAAACTTTCTTTTAAGTTTTAACAAAAGAACATACGACAAGAATTTGGATAATATTATGAAAAAGGTGCTCTACATAGTTATTGTAATGACCATAATTGATAATAAGTCTTTGAAAAATTAACATTTATCTAAACCTGCTATTAACATATATTCAAAGGAGAAAGTATAAGGTCACTTATTTAAATCTACCTAATAACATTCATACTAATTCTAAGACATAAATCTGTCGGACATCAGTATTTATATTTTTCACATTTAGTGCAAAACAGAAGAAACTGCCAAAAGTGTCTAATTTGTAGACATTGTCATGTATATTGACATATGAGCAAGAGCGTTAGCCAAATAGATGTTTTGCTACAAAAACATTTTTTTACAAAAGATGTTAATGTATATAAAATATCGTTTTGGATGAAGCCCTAGAATATAAAATGGCCGTTCTAGGTCAAATATTTAATTTCGACAAGTTTATTTAGTAAAAATGACAAAACAAGCGATCTCTCTACACTAAAGGTTTTTTTATCTATAAAATTAACATGATTTTCAAAGGGTTCAAACAGTTTACCTTTTTTTTACAGTTTCAGGTGATAATGTGACCTACCGAATAAGCCTATTTACCGGATTTGTAAAAACATAAGCAACACGACGGGTGCCACATGTGGAGCAAGATCTGCTTACCCTTCCGGAGCACTTGAGATCACCCCCAGTTTTTGGTGGGGTTCGTGTTGCTTATTCTTTAGTTTTTCTATGTTGTGTCATCTGTACTATTATTTGTCTGTTTGTCTTTATATTTTTGGCCATGGCGTTGTCAGTTCGTTTTCGATCTATGAGTTTGACTGTCCCTCTGGTATCTTTCGTCCCTCTTCTTTAATCCAATCAAAAATTCATTAAAATGTGAAATTAAGCTTTCATCTTTTTCAAAAAAGTTATTATAAAAGCCCAAGCATTACGTATATGTACCAGTTCAATAAAATCAGTCCCCCTTTAATAATATGAAAATTCGAAATGAGTTTTCAGCCCAACGACATTGGAAAAACAAATATCAAAAGAGAAACAAATACTTACTTTCATTCTAGAAAAAGAATAGTTAAAACTTGTAGTTTTCAATTTTGATTAATACTTGCATTAACGGCTGGAGATTTAAGGTTCAAAATAATTAATGTACGGTAATGGTCTATCAATATTTGATATTAATTTTGTTTAAACTCTTAAATGGGGTGGCTTAGAATTTATATTTGAGTGAATACTTAGTCATGTAGGTGTAACATGAAACGTAATTAAATATACGTACTTTAAGATTCAATTGAAAAACTGAAAACAATTTTTTTTTCATACATAAAAAGATATTGAAAATTTCTCAAACTTTTAAAGCACAATTCATGGTAAAAAAAATGCGGAATTAACAAAGAAAGAACGGTGTCAAAAATATGAAATGAAAAAAATGTGCAAATGACTATTCCAACATTATCAGTGGATCAGAAACGATTACTTTTTAAACTAAACACAGGTTATGTTGACTATCAGTTAGACAACTACTACATAGATTCAAGAGGAATCGTATCTTTACACAAATTTCAGCCCCCGTAAGTCATGGACTTTTTCATGTTAATCTGTAACGTGTGTCAATAACTAAGGAAAGTTTAATTCGATAAACTAGGAAAATGAATTTAAACCGATTTTGAAGCAAATGGTATACTAACATGATATTATTGTTATCCTGATTTTGTATATATATAATGAATACTTTAGAAGGATATCAAACGGATAATTGAAACCATAAGTCTGACAACGCCATTCCAAAAAAAAAAAATCAAACAATCAAAAGACCAACAACATCATACAAAACACAACAACAAAAAATACCAAACACTGGGCAACACCAATCCCACAAAAACAACGGGTCGATCTCAAGTGCTCAAGAATGGCAAGCAGATAGCTTAATTGAATGGAACCATTAACATTAAGTCATATAAAAAATGATCATAACAATTATTAATCGTATATAAGATTTACTTCTTTCATATTACTTTTTTCGACAGGTTACCTAATCTGTGGTTGAACATCCTGTTACTCGGCAAGATAAGAACAACCGAAAGAAGTAAAATCGAACATTTAATCTGCAATTTTTGGGGAATGTTTACTGTTTTCCGATTATTTTGTCATGTATAGAAAATTAAAAACAGTTAATTGCCCCACAAAATTGTACAGATTAAAAGCCTGGTTTTACTTCTTTGAGTTGCTCTTGCTAGACCGAGTACCAGGATGTCCTACCAAAAAAGAAGGTCAACTGTCATAAAAAAAATATAAACTCCGGAGTCAAATAGTCTATTCAATAATTAAGAGGTTCACCTATATAACTAAGAATGCATTTTCAAACCTTATAACAATATATATGGTCATGATTATCAATTAACTGTTTATAAAACTTTGATTTTTTAGAAATACTAAGGATAATTTACCCCAGGAGTAGATTACTGTTTTACTTTTCAGTATGGCCTACTTTAGTTTGGTCTAGTTCAGAAGGATTTTAATGTTTTATAGAAGACCTCTTTTGTAAATTCACGTCCTAAAAATGTATGAAATACTTTTCACTGGAAGTTATCAAAACTGGATAATGTCAAGCCAGCATATCAGAAATTATCAGTTTTACAAGATATATCATTTCACTAAACACTCAAGCATATTGGAATAGCATTTACCAGTTTGGTTAACACTACATTGTTTGCAAAGCATAATACTTTCATATATGTATTGTCATATCAATAATGATTGCTTAAAAGGGCTCTTTTTAAATATGTAATGTATTTCAAATGCTATGTACCTTTTTGGATGTATACTGGATTGCTAGGATCAGACATTCCAAATGTTGTTCCTGCCTTTATTCTTACACTGCCATTTTTTACAGACTGAATATTTGTGAACGTATGCTGTGACGCGTTAGATGAAGCAATCCCATGAGCAATAGGTTCATCTCCAATAGTTTCAAGTATTACTAAAAATTCAACGATCGGTCCATTTTCCTCCATCTCGTTGAAATTCTATAAACATGTAATACAAATTTAACAAACGCTATTCATGTTATGCGACTTAGGAAAAGTTAAGTAATTTAAAAGTTAAAATTGGATTGTTACTAAAATACATTTCAGTACAATATAATAAATCCTTTTTTTATATGTATAGTTTATATAAAAAGGAAGTTAAGCAATTACTCAGGTATCATTTTTTGTTCTGCACTTTTAAATCGGTTAAAAAAATATCGAAACTACATTCGAAAATCAAATTAAACGTACAACACAAATTACTTCAGGAGGTGAATATTGCATGAATACCTGCTCTAGAGCTTATCAATTCAAAGCCTGGGACTACAAATAAGTACTAACTTGTGAGTAAAATTTAAAAATTATCTATCAATACCAAATGACAAATCCTTTTTTTGCTATACTGAAAGGATATTCAAACTGATGAATCTAAGATGCCTTCTGAGAATACCATGACAACAATCAAAAACGATGAAAGAAAAATAACAAACGAAAAATTGAAACTCAAGACTGAGTAACACAAAACCAACTCACATCCGGGGTTCATGATGGGTAAGCAAAATCTGTTCCACATGTCGACCCGTCGTATTACTCATGTAGGTACAAAGTCGGTGATAAGTCTCATTTGGTGAGGTCCCATTAGAGGAAAAGAGAATGGGATTGCGGTTTAGGCAATAAAACATATATTATTGTTTGTATATTTGGTAGCTAGAGTGCGTTGTTGGTGCTTGCTGTTGTCTATTTCTTATTACTGTTTTTAGTAAACTCTTTTATCCTTTGTGTGTATAATATTTAAGTATCTATTACACATATTGACTGTGTACATTGATGCATTTTAACAACCGATATTAAACTACAGGCATTCTAATAAGAAAAGCATTTCAATTCATACATACCTGCCAATAAACTGTAATGTTTCTGACTTTTGAATGAGCCTTTTCTGCATATTCAATCGCTCCAACTGTCACTCTTGGAGGAAATTTCCCAACTACATGTACAAAAAAGGTACATAGATGGAAAGGGTTAATTATACACACATAAGATCTAATGAAAGTTTATTTTCTAGAAGGATAACCAAACAAAAAAAAATTATAAGTGAAGTTTTCCTTTGATCTTTGCAATAACATTAATGATACCAATGTTAATGCACAAGATGCGCATTTCGACACTAAATGTCTCGTCAGTGATGCTCGAGGTCAAAATATTTGAAAACCAAAGCTTATGCAATCGTTGAACAGTTGATCAAACCAAAAAGGACACCAAGTATAGCCAAATCCGCACAAGGAATCAGATCTTTACACGAAGGAACTATATTCAATAATTAAAAATTAAACCTAAACTCCTATGGAAGATAGAAAAAAGTAAAATAAAAAAATACCAAACTCCGAGGAAATTTCAAAACGGAAAGGCCCTAATCATAACAACTATCATATTCCTGACTTGGTATACGCATTTTCTTATGTTCAAAATGGTGGATTAAACCTTGTTTTATAGCTAGCTAAACCTCTCACTTGTATGACAGTCGTATGAGATGTCTGAGTGACAATTATGCCTCATCTTCTTATTTCTATACTGAAATAAATGCTTACCATATTGTGCTGTTCTTGCCTGTAGATAAACTGAATCACTTGGTAGACCTATTGGTTTTGTGTGGGTAAATATGTCTGTGTAATGGGCAAAAACTTCAAACTTATACAAAGTGTATATTTGTAAGTCCTGAATCAGCAATGATCTATGAAATGTGTTTACCTGAAAAAAATGGTTTATAAACATCTGTTATTTGTTTTTGATAATTACATGTAAGTCGGATCATTTAAAAACAGTGTATATGGCATTTTGGAATGAAATTGATACAATGGTAAAAGAATATTTCTTTGTCTAACGGAAACTGCGTGATCAAACATTGTCTTGAGGATCAATCTTCCTAGGCATAATTGTTGTCTATCCATTATTGTTTTCAAGATAAAAGGCAAAACGGGTAGACATTGTTTATTCATGATTTCAATCATTGAGCTTTTTTTGTACATCTTGTCTTTGGTGAAAAAAAAATTGCAGTTCAACGTTTCATTATATCTATTATTGTTTTTCTAGTTATTTGGTGAAACATTTTTGTTGCTGATAAATAGCGCTGTGAAATGGTTTCCCCTATCGACTCTAGTTTATGCAAACACAAACAAAAAGAACAACAACCTGGAATAAGAGCAGAAAGAGTCCAAGGCCACCAACGGGTCTTCAACGCAGCGAGAAAATCCCACACTCGGAGTCGGGCTTCAGCTGGAACCTAAACATTACTGTATACTAGTTCAGGGACGTCACACTAAACTCCGAAACATATTAATGAACCAAATAAAAACAAAAACAAAAAACACGACTAACAAAGTCTAGAGATTCTTGACTTGTGACAGGCGCAAAAATGCGGCGGGGTTAAATTTTTTTCGTGAGATCTCAACCCTCCCCCTTTACCTCTAGCCAATGTGGAATAGATAAACACATGTAGCAATACGCACAGTAAAAGTCAATTTAAAAGAAGTCCGAGTCTGATGTTAGAATCGGTAGCAGAAGAAACTGAGCAAAATGACAATGATGAACATAGATTAACAAAGGACTACTAGCAAATACAGACATGCCAGCTCCAGTTGTCAGCTAAACTGATTGAAAGATTATATCTTCATCACATGAAAATAAAGCACAATTCCTCCAGTTATGGGTTTAGTATCATGCATTTATAAATTATTAGAGAAGAACATAACCATGCAAAATAAAAAGTCCGTGCGCTTCACAGAGAGTCATATAGTAAACAAACATATCATAACCACATCACAGCTTAAGGCCTCTTCTTAACATTTGAAGGTCCCTACTATGTATTGGCTACCAAAACTACACAAAAAAACAGTAAAATATCGTTTCAAAATGGCCTCAAGTAAGTTTTCTACAACTAATCTTTCAGTGCTTTTAACTAGTTCCTTAACTACTATCAAAGAACTTTTGTAATAAGATATATGAGAATAGTGGAATTAACTATTGTTGAATGTAAAAAATTCTTTGGATGTTTTAGATAAATTACGTGCTTTTGATGGTCCTTTTGATTCTGTTGACAGTTTTGACTTTTCGACTCTTTACACTACACTTCCACACAATGTTATCAAACAAAAGTTTTCCTATTTAATTAAATGGTCGTTTGGTAAATCTGAAGGCAAATATATTTGTTGCAACTCATTTAAAGCCTTCTTCTCTAATGAGAAAGGTAAATATGCTAGATGTACTTACTAAAGGTGTGATGAGATGATTGAAGCTGTTAATTTTTCTCCTTGATAATATTTATGTACGTTTCGGCAACAAAGTTTATCGACAGATTGTAGGTATTCTTATGAGTACTTTAGTAGCAGACTTGTTTTTGTACTGTTATGAATCACAGTTTATGACCAAACTCAGTAAAGTCTAAATTGCATTGAATTGATAAGTTCAACAACACTTACCGTTATCTTGATTATATTTTTTCGTTAAATAATCAATAATTTTCTAAATATACTGCCGATATTTACCCTTAGAACTTACTTCAAATAAATCAAATGTAAACGCTAATAACTGTCCTGTCTTAGATTTAGATATTTCAGTTTTACACGGGAAACTCCACACTAAAATTTACGACAAAAGGGACGATTTTTCATTCCCTATTGTTAATTTTCCTATTTTGGATGGTGATGTTCCTTTGGCACCATCTTACGGTGTTTATATTTCACAACTCGTTCGCTATGCTCGTGTCTGTTGTGACGTTTTAGATTTTAACGAACTTAATCTATGTATTACTGGTAAATTATTAAGTCAGGTATTTCGTTACCACAAATTACTTAAAACTTTTACTAAATTCTTCCATAGATATAAAGATTTGGTTTTGAAGTTTGGTTGAACCTGTAGAAAATTTATTTCAAACGGGATAGCACATCCTCATTTTTACGGAGATGTTGTTTACCGTGCCCGGAAATTTAGAAACGATCCTGGTAATCTTATCGACCCTTTAAATAAACTTATTCTAAAAGGTTTCCAATTCAACACTGTAATTAGATCTTTGAATATTGTTTTATTGGTTTTAATATTGATTTTGTTATCAGTAAATTAAAATCAAAGTAAATATTATTGTTATATACATATGCACTTTTGTGGATCTACAATCTGTCGATTCCTGTATCTTGGCATTGCACAAGGTCATGTTTTTCTCTGACTGTTTATGACGTCTTTATACTAAATCCATTGGATATTGGATGTGTACTGATTGATAATTTAGTCTTAGATGCATGATTTTCTTTTTTAGTTGTTATTGGCTGTGAACTAGCTGTCAGTAACTGCGAGTACTCTCAGATCTGTACTAAGTGTCTTTTTGTTGTTGGGATGTACAAGTACCCAGCCACGTCCACTCTGTGTTTTTGTTAGATGTATTTCTATTTGTATTCGTCTGATGAGTTAAGCCTTTTCAACTGATTTTTATAGTTCGTTCTTATGTTGTACTGTTACACCACTGTCCCAGGTTAGGGGGAGGGTTGGGATCCCGCTAACATGTTTAGCCCCGCCACATTCTGTATGTAAGTGCCTGTCCCAAGTCAGGATCCTGTGATTCAGTGGTTGTCGTTCATTTTTTTTTGTACATTAATTAGGCCGTTAGTTTCTCGTTTGAATTGTTTTACATTTGTGATTTCGGGGCCTTTTATAGCTGACTTTGCGGTATGGGCTTTGCTCATTGTTGAAAGCCGTACGGTGACCTATAGCTGTTAATTTCTGTGTCATTTGGTCTCTTGTTGAGAGTTGTCTCATTGGCAATCATACCACATCTTCTTTTTTATAGTAAGTAGAATACCTACTGTGTGCTACCTATCACTCAAACGTGGCAAAAACGTTTCTTACTGAGGATAAATCAAATAATGACCTCCAGTCGTCTAAATAGATATAAGAAGATGTGGTATGAGTGCCAATGAGACAACTCTCCATCCAAGTCAAAATGTATAAAAGTAAACCATTATAGGTCACAGTACGGTCTTCAACACGGAGCTTTGGCTCACACCGAACAGTAAGCTATAAAGGGCCCCAAAAAATTACTAGTGTAAAACCATTCAAACGGGAAAACCAACGGTCTAATCTATATAAAAAACGAGAAACGAGAAACACTTATGAACCACATCAACAAACGACAACTACTGAACATCAGATTCCTGACTTAGGACAGGTGCAAACAAATGCAGCGGGTTTAAACGTTTTAATAGTACCAAACCTTCACCCTTTTTCTGAAACAATAGTGTAACATCACAACTTAGAAAGACACAATATAAAATATCAACTGAAATAGCTTAACTCAATCAAAGGTCATATTAACACCACTGAACATACACTGAACAAATAAATTTGACCTATGACACAATGTAAATACAAAATAAATAAACTAAGGGAAGAATAATAAAAGTAACATATTATATCGGTAAGAAATGTTAAACAATTAAAGAAAAACAATATGCTCGAACAAAAATACCATCCATTTGCAATAACCTGTTTTGTAAGAATGCATTGAATATACCGACGTTACTGACAATGCCTTGAATATGAAGTTACGTAAAAGTATCAAACGTTTAAACAACAATTTAACTTCCAATTTAAGGGTTTTAGTCTGTATATGAATAATAAAAAAAATCTAACTATATGAATAAGCAAAAAATAATCGTGCATAGTTTCTTATGTTTACTGGTATTTACTAAATTTAAGAAAATGCTTAAAAAGAAAATAGTTGTACATGTAATAAACTTACCGTTCTTGTTCCATTTTCTAAAATGTATTTGATTGTATATTCCATTCTAGGTTTATTGTTACCGTCTCTGGGTTTTTCTTTTGTGTCCCATTTCAATTGAATGACGGTCTTATTTTTCTCCAGAACCGTCACGTTTTCCATTTTGAAAGGTTTAGCTGCAGAATATTTATAAAGTAACATATATCATTCCTGTCCAATAAATTTATACTACCAAAATTAATTATATAAATAAGAAATTGATGTTCAATAGTACCTATTTCCGACCTCTATTTTCAAAAAATCAGATTTCTTTAATTTTCAAGAGAAATTTGAAATATAAAATTCCAATAATTAATTGTACTATGCGAATCTGCAAAACCGTTGTTTTTCTCGTCTTAGTTACTCCATATTCTGTCATCCTCATCCTTAAGACTATTATAATTTCATATATAGTATTTTCTCATTGTTGAATGCCTTACTATTTGACTTCTGTGATTATTTGTCTCTGTTGCAATAGTATTACATATCTTTATTTTTCGCTTTAAAAATTGCAACCTTAGAACTGAGCCGCGGGATTCTTGAAACAAAAAAAGAAAATACGAAGGAGACAACGGAATGAGAGAAAAAAACACCAAGACAAGAAACAAAAACTAAAAAAAGACTAAACACAGGAAAAATACCACATACACTCAAGATTGAGCAACAACAAAAAAAGAGCGTATGACATATCTAAAGTTGTTTTTTTTCAATTTCAGCTATGGTTGGTATAAATAGATACCAGGCTCTAAAATTTTTACACCAGAAGCGCGTTTCATTTTCAAAAGACTCATCTGTGATGCTGGAATAAAAAAAAATTAAAAGCCAAATAAAGTACGAGGTTGTAGAGCATTGAGGACCAAACTTTCAGTAAGGTTTTGCCAAATACATCATCAGATTAGTAGAAAGTGTTGCGGCACCAACATGATTTGTAACATAAATTAAGTGACTATTTTCTTTATCTACTATAGTTTAAAAAAAACAAAACACCACAAAAATGGATAAAACTAGTCAATAACCCATACAAGACACGGTTTACCTATTAGAACATCGTAGTTAAGGGTACATTTTGCATCTTACAGTTCCACTATATCTACTGCAGTTTCTACAGAACAACCAAGCAATGAATGAGAATGAATCATATTCTAGGGCAATACTTTCTATAAGGAGTCCACCAATGTTTTCGGTTATGTTGACTACTTGTTTAGATTATTTTGCTATTGAAAGCTTCTCTTTGTTTACTAACATTTCTACGATAAACGCGAAAATTGTTAAACATCGTTATCCAAGGGTAATAGCTTCTATAAAAGTCACTTGAAATTTCGACTATATGGACTTGTTTGAAGATTTAATCATGTTCGCGTTTCAAAGATTCATATATTCACAATAGATTCTGCAAAAACACAAAACTAAGTAGAAATCGCTTTTTAAAGATAGGTTGTTTCTGTAAGGAGTCAACTTATGATTTGACCATGCTGATTATTTGTAGATCTTAAAATTTCTCTGATCAAACTTGCTGTGAGTAGTCGACTGATGTTTTCTGTTAAGTGTGTTTTATTTATAGATCTTATCCTGGTGACCATTTTAGCTATTTAAATTTTCACTAAATGTTTTATACTTAGCATGAAACATGTGTAAAAATCGCCATGCAAGAGCAATAACTGGTATAAGGATTTGACTGAAGATTTTGGCCATATGAATAATTTGAAGATCATGGCTGACCGTGGCAACAAATAGTTACTCTCATCTTACACAGTTTCTTCAAAATCTCGATAAAAAAAGTTATTCATAGGCAATATTTCCTGTAAGATGCTTTGTTATTTGTAGATCATCTCCTGCAGATCATTTTTGCTACTTATATGTTTCTCATTGTTTTTTAATGTTTGAAGATTAACCCAAGTTGCAAACAAATTTAATAATTGTCATATACGGGTAATTACTTCTTTGAGAAGTGCTTTGAACTTTTTGGTCCAAATAAACTCTCGATAGGTCTTGACATTCAGAACATTTTTCCATGCGAGTTGTTTCTATATTTAACGATTTTCAAGATAAAAGACAATATTTGCCTTTTACTCCCATTTTCATTTTTATCGACTTGGCAGTGATAATGGCAGACATGCAGGGTCATCTGTCACCTCTAATAAATACTAACAAAAAAATTGTGTGGCCAAGTTTTATATCAATTTTCTAGACAGTTTCTTTAGGGAAGACTTTTGTAAAAGTATACCGACAACAACAGAACGCGGGCGCCAAGAAATTATAAAAGATACAAAAAAAAATACATTAAACTTAGAAGTAGTTATTAATATAGATCTTATAGTATCAAAATACGGTCCATTTTTTGTATATCGACTTTTTTTTCATAAGAGGTAATCGATCACGGATAATTGGAATTTTGCATTTATACCAAATAGTTATGCCGTATCCTTTCCCAAAACGCAGATCCTGGCTTATCAAATGGAAAACGAATTATTTTTTTTTCTTTCTTTTGAACTTATTGTCATTATATTGATTGTTTTAAATAACATTTCTTTGAAAGTACACACCACAAGAAAGAAATTTGCCATGTTATGTTTTAAACTATTTTGTGATTTTACAGTAGAAAGATAGATGTTCAAAATTTACAATACTGACTTTCTTATGCGATTAGACTATAACAGACGATATCTATGTGAAAATCTTATCCAGTGCTAAACATTTTAAGCTACGATAGGGCACTTTAATTAAACTTTCCTCTTACATGTAAGCAATACTAGACCCTGACATGAATTATCCATGCTATTATTAACACATACCTCAAAAATGCATATACAAATATTTTCGTAAATATTAGGTCTATATGTGTATTATATTGAAGTTCTTGACAGGCAAAAAGATTTAATCTATATAAAGCTCTTCTCTACCTTTAATATAATTTAAAAAACGTATCAAGAGGAGATATCATTTGACAAACAAAACGTAAGCTGATAATGCATGCTGTGTTTGCATATACCCGTACAATATTGAAGTTTATTGAACTCTGTCTTATAAAAAATATAACCTTCTAAAGAAATTTTGATTTATATGGATTTACCTTTTAAAATGTAATTACTTTTTTTAGATGACAGGTACTCTAACGCCAGTCAAAGATAACATTGTATACATATCATTTAAATTTGTAGTCAAATGCAATTTTTTAAATGTATTATATCCTCTATATTTTTTTTATATCTTGAGATTACGAGTCTATTTAATCTGGGTATTTCTTAAGAGAGTTGGAAATTTAGAAAATTCATGAATATGATTGATACATTCAAAATTTAAAAAAAAATGTAGATAGGGATGTAACTGGATAAATCCTTTTTTTTTTTTTTTTTTTTCTTCTTTGTTTTCTTCTTCCTTTTCCACTCCTATACTATCTGTTAATTGTTATTAAGTATTTATTTATTTATTTATTTGCATATTTTTTTAACTTTTTCTTTTAATCTGTTCTGTAGAAAATGTAAAATATTTCCACTTATAATGTATTTGTAATAATGACATTGTATATATATTACATGTATTATAGTGTATGTATGTATATGCTTTAATTGTTAAAAATCAAAAATTAAGGAAAAAATAAAAATCAGAAAGTCGCTTCAAGTGTCGCGTAAGAACAACATTTCACACTATTTATTTCAAGTACAAGTAATCAGAAAAGGTCGACTTCAAATTTTACATGTTTTACATTTGTAAGAATTTTAATCTTCTTCGAGTATGCATTTCCGTTTAATATGTAACCTTAACTCAACTTTTCCAATTATTGATCGACATATTTTTAAACAGGTGAATAGTTGTTCAAGTTTTATCAATGTTAAATGACAGTGAATACCATTTAAATACTTTACAACCAAAACATTTCAATTTTTCGTGAAAGGTTATCAAAAATCGTGTCATTACTTAGATAACAAACTTTGCAAAAAAATAAAAAAAATATATATATACCTAGGTTGTAATTCCTGAAAACATTATGTAACGATGCAACTACGTGGCAGCGATAAAGAGAAAAAAACGCAGGTACTTATTTCTGCTCATAAGACATGTTCTTTAGCTAAAAATGATTTCAATGCGGTATGGGCTTTGCTGACTATGCGGCATGGGCTTTGCTCATTGTTGAAGGTAGTACGGTGACCCATAGTAACTTTTGTTAATTTTTTGTATCATTTGGTCTATTGTGGAGAGTTGTCTCATTGACAATCATACCACATCTTCTTTTTATATTCCGTGTATTTTGTGGCTTGTTTATTTTCTTTCTTTTTTTCCTTCGGTTTTATTTAGTACGTACATGTATATCTAAAGCGTAGGACCGCCAAGAAAATCGCTCGCTGAAGTCAGTATGTTAAGAAGTTATCATACGGTATGGTATAATATGAAGGAGTAATATAAGATGATATTTTAATAAAATATTAATTAAATGAAAATATGACGGTTCTTATTAACATATTATAGGAGGAAACAATCCTTATTTAAACATTCAGGTTATGTTTTGACGCAAACTGATTATTCTCGATCAACCTCGAACAAAACGTACGGGTTTCATTATAGTAAGATGCATTATGATTTCCAAATAAGAATTTTTCACAATGCAAATTTTCAAATTATTAAAAGAAAGGTATGAGATCCGACAAAGTTATATAATTTATAAGTCATCAAACAAAATACTCAGAAAAATATGTGATAAAAATGTAAAGTAACGACGAAACCTGATTAAGGTCTTTAGTTTAATCGCAAAGAAACAGTTTTTTTTTTTTTAGTAGCGTTATATCAAATTCTTGTAGTTTTACAGTTTGATCGTGTTTTTATAAATGAAGATCTTCTGAAGAAAGATGCATGTTAGTTTAGACAATGTTTTACGAATCATTAAATAACTGGAGACTTAAAGGGGCGCTAGCTGTCAAATTCATGTTGACCGATTTGACTCAAATTCCCATATTCGACTTATTACATACTAAAACGTATATCCAATTAAAAAAAGTCTAAAATAAACAATTTACGATGCATAAACTTGAAATTATGTATCAGCATTCGTGTGTATTTTAGTCTAGACGCCATCTAATTAACCATCGAGGTGACCTTCCGAAGACTACCGACGGTTATATAACCCAATATAAACATAAACATAGATATAAATAGAAAGCGAACTCATGCAATTGGATTTTTCTAGGGCTGTTTGATATCATATTATAGGTTAACACAATATGTTTATAATCGTTTCCACCTGTATAAGAATGAGTTTTTGTATATCGAATCAGTCAATCAAATGGTTGACCTTTTTTTCACTTTCAATGTTGACATTCTTTTCCTTTTACCAGCTGAACATGCCTAGTTCATGCATAACCCATCTCTAGCTAATAGGTTCAATTGAAGTACACATGAATACGGATTTAATGAGGTCAAATTATTCACTTGCAATTGAATAATTCATTAGCGATGTTTCTTTGCTTATTTTGACAAAACTCAACCAAACTGGCTGCTAAAAGCGAATTTTTATCGCACTATTTTACTTTCATTAATGATTGAACAACAAAAAAATCATTTTTTTTCTACATCTCGTAGCTAGTGTCCCTTTAAGAGTGTTTTAATAATGTCTAATACTATAAAGGAAAATAAATTACCATATAATTTGCCTGTTTCAAATATATAATACTGCAAATTAAAATAAATTACCGTATAATTTTCTTATATCATTTGGATATCGATTTTCTATCAGTGTAGTTTTTGTTGCATGTAATTTCGTGTTTGTTACATTTATTCTGAAGAATTGGTTTAATCCGTATATATTCTCTGTTATGTCGTCACACCTCGTTTTATCGAGAACCTTGGAACAATTATTTTGGAATTGATTTTTGCTTTTACTTTTCCTGTTCAAAAGACAAAAAAAGTTATAATACAAGCATCCTAATCTGTTATTGACTGATGCATATTGCTCAGTATTTATGAATAAATCAGCAGTTAAAAAAACAATAAACAACAACAAAAGTAATAATAGCAATGATAATGAGTAATAAAGGAACAATAAATAATAAATATTCATTGACTAATTCATACATCAAAATTACCAAAAGCAGCAATTTGTTTGCATGGAAAAGAAAATTCGTAAGGGTTCCGCGGAACCCAGTGTTTCGCCTACTTTTGCTGTTAGTCGCAGGCTCAACAAAAATGGTGAAAAAATTATTAAAAATTTTCCTCTAGATACTATCTTTTGATTGTAAGAAGCTTCTATCCAAGTTTGGTAAAAATCCAGGATGGTTTATGAATCTAATAAATGTTTTTAAAACTTTAACTGCAGACTGTATGTAATGTTAACTGGAAGAAAACTAAGTCCATTTATAAGTAATGTACGGAAAACAGGAAATAAATTTTTACAAAATTTCTTTCTGGATACTATCTTATGATCATAAACAAGCTTCTGTCCAAGTTTGGTACAAATCCAGGATAGTTTAAGAAAGTTATCAAATTTCAAAAAACTTTAACCACAGAGTGAATATTTGTGGACGCCGCCGCCGACGCCGACGACGGAATGTAGGATCGCTATGTCTTGCTTTTGCGACAAAAGTCACAGGCTCGACAATAAATGTATGTCAACTGCACGCCTAACATTGAAAATTTTAGCTAGATTATCAAAACACGTAGCAAGGTTTGAAACCAAACTTTGATAATATAGAACCGAATCAACAAACAGCATGATACGCCCTTGTTGTCTATATTTAAATTGTTGCAAGAATAAAATGCGATATTTCGAAGGCATTTAATCATTAGATAGTAAAGAAAAAAGCTCTGTAATAAAACTTTTGTAGCTCTCGGTCGACATATACCGGAAAATAAAAATAAATCCCAAAAGGAGCTTTAATCAATCCTAACAATAATGTAAAGTTTGGAAGTAAATCAATCTTGAAATACTGAAGATAGGGCGCGATTAGTGACAACTTGCCTTAAATCTAAGGGATAAAAGTTCCGTTACTCTGAAACAAAATCGAGAGGGAGCTTTCTTCCGCCAATTCTAAGTTGTGTTAATGTTACATGAGGATTAGTTAAAGCGAATTTGAGTTATTGTACGAAGTGTTAACGGACGGACGGACATTGGTATATCAAAATATGTCCCGTATTTGACGAGTGTATAAAAAGGAAAGATAACTCTGCAGATATTAATTTATATTCAAAACACGACCCTACCGTAGATTATCAAAATACGCCTTGATTAAATGAACGAAATTTGATTTTTTAAGCCGCACTTAGTCCAATAGTACTATGTTTAGATAGTATTAGTTGTTCAAATCTAAGTTAAAGGGGCATTAGCTGTCAAATTCATGTTCACCGATTTGACTCAAATTCTCGTATTTGATTTATAACATACTAAAACGTATATCAAAATTACAATAAGTCTGAAATAAACAATTAACAATGCATGGGCCCGATGATATATATCAGCATTTCGTGTGTATTTTAGTATAGACGCCATCTAATTAACTATCGAGATGACCTCCGAAGACTTCCGACGGTAACATAACCCGATATAAACATAAACATAACTATTAATAGATAGCGACCTCGTGCAATAGGACTTTTCTGGGTCTGTTTGCTCTCATGTTATAGGTTGAAAAAAATAAGTTAATCATCGGTTTTACTTGTATACGAATGATGTTTTGTGGATCGAATCAGTCAACGAAATGGTTCGCCTTTGTTTCACTTTCAATATTGACATGTTTTTTCTTTAAATGGCTGAACACGAATTATACATGCGTAACCAATCTCTAGCTAATGGGTTAAATTGAAGATCACAAGAATACGGATTCAACGAGGTCGAATTATTCACTTGCAAGTGAATAATTCATCCGCGATGTTTCTTACCTTATTTTGACAAAATTGTACTTAATTTGCTCTGCTAAAAGCGAATTATTATTTCACTATTCCCCTTTCATTGATGATTGAAGCCAAAAAAAATCTGATTTTATTTTTTTTTATATCCCCTTTAATAAAAGTGCAATTCGAAATCGAAATTTAATAATCGTCATATCCAAGAGCAAATAATAGTTCCCATATCAATATATAAACATTATGATTGGACAACAGCAACGTCATTAAAAAACTCATGTTCACGGCGAAGACAGAGAAATCCCTCTACGTACTGGCAACATTTGTGTTGCTTATGACTAGAAAAAACTTTCGTAGAAAGAAAGGACAAGACCACAGTAAATGACTACTTTTGTGTACATTTCTGCAACAAATATACCTTTAAGGTGACATCAACACTGAAAGAGGACACTCATGAGATTATCGAATCACATGATTGAAAATTAACATGTAACATCTTGGCCAAAAGAAAATAAGCACAAACTGACAAAATATTTCTCAAAAAAAATACATGGAAGACTTGGAAAAAGTAACCCAATCGAGGAAGTAGGTAATATGAAGAGCTTCATTTGTTCTCCAATATTAAGACCTTCATATTAAGATAAAAAGTGTTTCAAGTTGACGAATAAACATGTGATTCAGTGAAAAAGAACAATTGCTTTCAAGATGTTCCAACAAAGCATTGACCTTTACACCCAAAGAAGGCACAGATGAGATATTGTCGAGATTTGTCACCTATATTAAATCCTATGAAACATGATCGCAGTGTTCAACAAACTAAGTAAACGAGTCTGAGGTAATCTCTTAAAGTATAACACAATGTTAAAGATATCTGTTTATCGACGACAGTGTTAAAGATATCTGTTTATCGATGACAATGTTAAAGATATCTGTTTATCGACGACAATGTTAAAAATATCTGTTTATCGACGACAATGCTATGAAGGTTTCCGGTTGTCGTATTTTCTATGAATTTGGTTTGCAAATTAATTCTTATTTCGATGTCATTAAAGTTACTCTGACATGTTTAAACACAAGCTCTGGTACATCACAACATCTGCGCACGAGCACAACTCATAATTTAAGTAAAGGAAAACTGACGAAGAATCTACAGCTCGTGTAGCCGTTGACTCAATGGAGAAAATAAATCGAAGAATTGTCATAAGTTATGAAGTCAGTATAAAAATCAGAAAAAGGTGTGAATTTGTTTACCAGTTACATGTTTGTCCTTTAAGATACAACGAAATAAAGAAAAATAACTGCACATATATATTATTGTAAAGCAAATATACAACATGTAGTATCATGCAGCTGGCTAACGAAAGCTAAGGTTGAATGATCTGAAGCTCTAAAGGCAGTGCAGACGTTTGTGTCGTCGATGTATCAACTTTTTCAAATCGAACAGAATTAGATGGCACAATATTTATTTAAAAGTGCTATCTAGAATGTATCGTTTTTTTCAAATCTACCTGTGTACTGAAAATTTCAACTGAGTCCTAAAAATTGACCTCCATTGTTTCAAAATTCGTGCATGTTTGTTATTCTGTGGTTAGGTTGATAAATATATATGTATATAAGATGCAAGTAATCTATTTTCCAAATATCGATAAACTGCAGCACAAATGCAAATCTAGTAGGAAAATTAATGTTATCACAAAAAATGCAGCTTAAATTTAATTCTATCATTTTGATAGTGAAACCATTTTTTCTTGTCATTTCTTCTATGTTTTATTTTGTATATTAGATTTGTTTAATTTGATTGTTTTTCTTTTTTTTTTGTCATGGCATTGTCTGTTCGTTTTCGGCTCATCAGATTGATTGTTCCTTTGGTATCTTTCGCCTCTTTTTATCTTGAATTTATAAAAAAGATCACTTACCATTCAAATGAAACATTGATGAAGTTTGGGGTTCTATATTTTACAGGGTGTTCCCAGAAGCACTGTAATGAACCTGCCTCCATACCCTCCCAAATACATGAGAAATTGACAATTTCTTGTGGAGAATCTGCAAAAGTAACATAAATATGTAGTGCATATATATGAAGATAAAACATTAATTTACCTAATCAGATTTTTACTTTTGAAATATTTCCCGTTTGTCATTATTAACGACCGTTCGGTTACCTGTTTATTACAACCTTGTGCTTTGGTCTGTTGTGGATAGTTGTCCAAAAGGCAATCATATATTGTGTCATATCTACTTATTTTGAAATACAAGACTATCAAACATCTAAAGTTTAGGTGTAAAAATCTTTTTGAAATATTACGAAAATCTAAGTAATAATTTATGAATATCAGTTTTCATGCAGGACCTCGGTATTAAAGTAAAAATAATGGGGTCTACAAAAGCGTCCAAAACAGGTTAACCGTAAAAATATTGATTAAAATAATTATGACATCCAGGAGTTACTTTTCGTGATTTATAGATCTCGTTTGAATTGTTTCATATTTTTTCATGTTGGTGTCCTTTATACTTTACTACACTGCATGGGGTCTGCTCATTGTTGAAGGTCGTACGGTAACCTATAGTTGCCCTAAGTCCGTCGTTTCATGTTGGATTGTCGTCTCATTTTCAATCAAACAACATCATCTTATTTTGCAAAGGAAGATGTAGGCTTTAAGATTTTTAAACAGTTCATATTTTTATATTTACGTTGTTCAGCGGTATGTAAAAGAGGCTATGCAATATGAGAGGACATTATTGGCATTTAAAGGTATTGGTAGTAAAGGGGTAGAAAATTATTTCTTTGTGTCAATTCTTCAGACATATTGACCACTGCATTTGCCTCCGATTTATTTAAATTCAAATCAAAATTATAACCTCTCACTGCAATTACAACATTCTTATTTTGAAATTTCATATCTTATCATACTTACAATCTATATACAAAAATTGAATCTTCCAAAGCCTATGAGATGAATGTGTCGTTGTTCTACAGTAGAAATTATTCTGTATGTCATTAACTGTAACAACATGTTGTAATACTGCTGTTGTTTGGTTGACTACAGTAATATGGTCGTTTTCCAGTTTACTGTTGTCACTTTCGAAGTACAAAGTACTAGAATTAGCTTCTTTATAAGATTCATTCAATTGACATGTTATATTTACAGTACTGTTGATAAATACGTTACAGTTTTCTGCCCAAATCTCTGAAAAGAAATTTGCCCGTGTCAATTTCAATACAGCAACAAGATATAAATATATGGAATGGAAAATATGAATAAAAGAAGATATAAGAATTGACACAGAAAAAACAAACGACCGACGTCTCGAGGTATGCATATACATGCCTTTAAATAAGTCGGTTTGATAAACATGACTAAAGAGACATCCAATGGTTTCAGAAACAATGATTGCAGAGACGTCCAATCAAAACACCAATGTTGTGTATCAGTCCTACTACCACGTTATTTGAAGGTAAGCAATACCAATCAACAGACATTGACAATTGAAAAGTATAAGATTAAATATCACATTCACATTTGTTATCAGCACGCTGAAATGAACATGATAAGCAGTTAGACACATTAATGGACCAAATATTTAGTTAAGAAACTGAACTATAATTAAGACTTTTGTTTGTCATTTAACACACTACAGGTTAAAATCGTTCAGCACTGGTTCTCCGGTAAAGCGCCCAACGTCCGAGTAAAAAATGATAAAATATAAATTGCAGCAAATCTTGTAAATAAAGAACATGGAACATCCTCATAGTATATTCTATCCACCATATCAATTTCAGCATGTAATATGCCACCGTTAATTTGTAATGATCGAGACAGTTTAGATGAAAAAATGTCAAAAAAATACATTAAACGTAATTTTATTTCCTTTGACGTCGTGATTTTCAATACCAAAAAAAATGCTAAAAACTTTAAATAATTTCTTTTACGGTGTTTTGTTATCTTTATTTATTCACATAAACTTTAATGTGCGTTTTTCTTGTGAGTTGAAATTAAGGAATATTCAGCCATGTCTGCTTTATTATGTAAGTCTTTTTTTTTTTATCTCTTCAACACAAATTTCGGTAATACATCTTCCTGTGGACTGTTTCCTTGTGAACTAGTACGCTAAAAAATCGACCCAGCATGTCGGTCTTGTACAAGGCAGGATTAATATTAATATCGTAACATGCTTTCGACTCGAATATGCATATAATTCGCCGCTGAATCCCCCTCCTCCTCATTATCATCATCATCTAGTTTGCCAATCTGTGTTACCATGAATTATCATCGATGTGGTCATATTTATATATAAAATCAACTGTTTCAAAATTGCACAAGAATGGCTTATAATGCATTCATCCCTTGATTTGAATAGTTTGAATAACTAAGAATTTTCTATATAGACGAAACACAATTCTTGTATCTTTGATGGATTACTTCCTTTGATATTCAATAATACTTTTTTCTTTGTATCGGAAATTTTGAAATAATAAAAGAGTAACGAGACGTGTTTATATCTGACCAAAGGATTAAACAAATCACTTATTTGATAATGTTTAAAGTTATTATAATACTGCAATTTTAGAGGAGATATGATTTATTGATTGTTGTTTTCTGAACGTAAAGTGGCAGATATTTCATGCAGATTTATGACCGATAAAAATATATATAAACAAAACCATGACGAGAGACAGACGACAAAAAAGCAATCAGCAAAATATAAAATATAAAAACATTTTCTATAGATTTTTCATTCATAGTAGGCAACCCTCTTTGTTGGTTGGTTGTCTCTTTGTTGGTTGGTTGTAGTCTATTAATCTCACCGACTTAAATTTTAAAAGAGATCACCAAAAAATACCAAATAAACAGCTTCTCCTTGTAGATACTCTTATACTAGTAGTATTATGCATCCTATTCCGCTTGAATATCAAATATTTATTTGAAATAACCCAAGATATATGAGGTGGTTTATAGAATAGAAATAATCCCCCCCCCCCCCCCCCCAAAAAAAAAGAAAGAAAGAAAAAATAGGCAATCAAATAAGGATTAGAAAATAATGGGGTGGTAAAATGTATTTTTAAAAATAATTGTATAAAAATTAAGGATAAGGTAAAAAAAAAATACTGATTTCAGAAATAAACGATTTACAGAATAATGAAACTTTGCGTTTTCTGAATATCAAATTTATTATTAATAATTGACAATAGAATAGTAGATCATTTGGAATAAAATGTTGAACTGGTCGTAATCGGAACTGGTAATTGAAATTAGCGATGCAAATTCTATACATTCATAATCCTCGGTATTTTTCTCCAAAATCACGATCTTGCACGAGTAAACGTATCATTTCGTCTCCTATCCTATTGCAGACAAAGTTAACCTTACATCCTAATCCTGCATTGTGTCACAATGATTACATTTTACACCACTGATAAAACAGTTCGTGACAGAGGTCAGACCAGGATAACCATTGACAACAAAAAGCTCTGCAATAGTGTTTTGAATTTATCTTCATCATTTACGCCCAGCGCCGAATATTTTATTGCCAAGGATGTGAAAGAACAAAAAGAGTTGATGAGCTATCTGACCAAAAGGACATAAAAAAATAGCCAAATCAGTCGAAGATTAACTTTGCCCGATAGAGTTGAAACCTTAGTTTCTTTATAATTTCAATATTTATAAATGGACAATTGAAGGGAATTGAAAGGAATTGCAGAATCAAAACGCTGTCATAATTCCTACGTCTTCAGTTTCATTTTTGTAAGATCCATAACTCATTATAATTCAAACAACAATTTATTGGTTAGGGCTGGAAGATTGATGCTTGATAAATGGTATCATTTGTGCAGTTCAGTGACAGATTCCAAAAAAAGGGGTGTACGGGGTAATGTCGTCATACGTGTGTCGTTGATACAAACAAGAAGATCCATCATGTCAAAATTGTGATACAACAGGAAATTTAATTTCATATGCAGGAAATGAACACAAGAATTTTACAGAATAAGCATATTTCTTACTGAATAGAGAAAAATGGCCAAAAGAATTACAGAATACAGAAATGTAAACCCCCCTCCCCTAATCCAGACTGTCATATATCATTGTGACGGATAGCTTTGTTTGATCTATTTAACTGTTTTTGTTTTCGAAAAGAATATTTGTACAAGGTGTTTTTAATAAATGTAACGGACAATATATACCACGGGTTTTTTTTTTAGATCTGAGATAAAAGCAACTCTGTTACACTCAAAAAATTGATTAATAAGAATTGTTACATGATGTCTTCTTATGTCGCCTGAATTACAATGTATGTTATTGTTCTGTAATTTATATATTCGCCATTCGTAATAATTATCTAATATGTTTATTTGGCATGCCATACTCGATAAAAGTGCGGACGTGCAGTTTTCAACTTTGTTTAGTTTTTCAGACTGATATGATTTGGAATAAATTACCATTGTTATAAACAAAATTATTTATGGTAACCTTATAATCAAATTTAACTCATATCACACTCTATGTTGTGCTGAATATTTTGTCCTGCTTGATCTTTTATCCGTTAACGGAAATTACAGGTTTACGAGGAAAACATTTCGACGGCCGGTATACGATCACTATCGTTGTGCAATATGTAATAAACTTTGTAAAAATTTAAAATATAGATAATAAAGAAATAAAAAAATCTCAGAAATAAGTATAAAAAGCTACGGGTATATAATTCGAAGTCGTTAGTTTTGCTTTATTACGGTGGGACAAATTAACGTCATAAAATGGGCGCTTTAAATAACGAAGAACCAGTGTCAGGCTTAGTTTGTTAGTGGTAAGAATATATCTAATTTGTTTGATCAATGTGTATGTTTTCATTGTTACATCATTCTTTAGAATAACAAATAAATGCCTTTTTCTCAAATGAGAAAAGTAAATATGCTAGATATACCTACTGGAGGTGTGTTGAGATGATTAAAGCCGTAAATTTTCTCCTTGACAACATTTATATAAATAAGAAGATGTGGTATGAGTGCCAATGAGACAACTCTACATCCAAGTCGCAATGTTTAAAAATTTAACAATAATAGGTCAAAGTACGGCTTTCAACACGGAGCCTTGGCTCATAACGAACAAAAAAGCTATAAAAGGCATCAAAATGACTAGTGTAAAACAATTCATACAGAAAAACCAACGGTCTAATCTATATAAAAACGAGAAACGAGAAACACCTATGAACCACACCAACAAACGACAACCACTACTGAACAACAGGCTCCTGACTAAGGACAGGTGCATAAAAATGCAGCGGGTTTAAACGTTTTAACAGGCGCCAACATGCACCCTAACCTGAGACAGTAGTGTAACATTACAATTTAAAAAGACACACTATAAAATATCAATTGAAATGGCTTAACTCGATCAAAAAGGCAAGTTAACAAAAACAAGTAAACACACATTGAACGCATAAGTTTGATCTTTGATCGTAGGTGCTTATATAACATAGGTGTTACAGCAATATTATGTACGTTTCGGCAATAAAGTGTATTGACAGGCTGTAGTATCCCTATAGGCACCAATTGTGCCCCTTAAATAGCAGATTTGTTCCTATAAGGCTATGAATCACAGTTTATGGCCAAACTCAGTAAAGAACCGTCTAAATTCCTTTTCATTTATAAATTCAACAACGCTTAAATCGTTGAATAATCATGAATTCTCTAAATAAACTGCTGAAATTTACCCAAAGGATCTTACTCAAATATTAACAGCAAACACTGCCCTTTCTTAGATTTAGATATCTTAGTGTTACACCAGAAACTCTACACAAAAGTTAACGACAATAGGGATGAATTGTCTATTAAACTTATTTTAAACCGAATAGCACATCCTAAATTTTTCAGTAATGTTGTTAACCGAGCCCGGAAATTCAGATAATATCCGGGTAAACTTACCAATCCTTTAATAAACTTATTATAAAAGGTTACACATTCAACACTGTAATTAAATCTTTGAATATTGTTTTTATTGGTATAAATACTTATTTTGTTATCAGTAAATTAAAACCATACTCAATATTATTGCTATTCACACATGTACTTGCACGGTACTACAATCTGTCGATACCTATATTTTGGCATTGTACAAGGTCATGTTTTTCCTGATTGTTTATGACGTCTTTACACTTAATTCATTGGATGTTTGATTTGTACTGATTGTTATTTTAGTCTCAGATACATGATTTTTTTATTAGTTGTTATTGATTTTGAACTAGCTGCCAGTAACTGCGAGTACTCTCATATCTGTACTATGTGTTTCGTTTTGTTATTCCTGGTCTTCACGGGGGATATTTCTCCTGAAACAGGGTGAAAGGCATGTAGAGCAGTGACAGGGAACAATAGCCCACTCTATTAAGATGTATATATATAATACTTTGTTGTGTCGTTATGTTGCTGCTTAAGGGGGTACCCAATACTTTGACCAAAATAAATTTGGCTCGTTAAATTTTCATTAAGTTTTGACAAAATATTAACTTTGACCTGTTGACAAAAATATAAAATTTCAAGAAATTTGAACCACACAATTTACAGGGATAATTTCATTTGATATATAGCAGTTTGACAAACGCTAACTTTGATCATTGAGAAGCTTGAGTTTGTTTTCTTTACTATGAGTAAATGATTAAAACGTTTAGCTGATTTTTAAAGATTTATCTCCCTTTAGTGTCATGTGCCCCCTTAATGAACGTTTACCCAAAATGTTTGTTTATCACATTTCTAAAATGTTACATAAATGCAAATTCACAATAATGTTAGTAAAGACAGCACAATTAAATAAAATAATGACAAACTTTGATCATGCTATATATCCGCATCTTAACTTATCGTTGCTTCACACAAATGAATATATGACGGAAGATGTGGTTATACGCCAATAGAAGAGTTAATGTCTATGATAATATACAGGTGTATATGTAATGTGTCAAGCACTTATTTCTCTCTCGAGTCTAAAAGGATGCGCATTAGTTCAATGGAAATTGTCAAAGAACTGCAATCAATACAAAACTTTCCAGAATATAAGACAACGACTGACGATGTTCGTGACTTATGAAAGGCAGATGTATAAGAAGCGAGGCTAAATAAATGTAACTAGTCAATGTGTGTACATTTCATCACTGCTAAGTTTTGCCAGATTTTTTTTTATTAAAGATTTCCAATAAATTGGCATTACTCGATGTACGCATACTATTTGAAAGTAGTTTTACATAATTGCGTGAATGTGTTGCTTATTATAATACACATTGTTTGCCCACATACATTTCATTTACTATTCAATAATTGTGTTAATCTTAATCTTTACATTTGTTGTTATAAAATATTGGGGTGATTTTATTGTCAATGAGCATTTGATGTAATGAAAAAATTTCTTTTTTACGAATACTTCTTCACCAAATTGAAATGAAAAAAATGACGGGTGGCACAAGTGGAGCAAAAACTGTTTACCCTTTCCAGAGAACCAGAGTAAACTTCGTTTATTTGTGGGGTTCGTATTGCTTAAATATAGATTCCACCACTGCAACAAGTGTGTTACGATATTTCTCCACTCGAAACAATTTTGATATTTAAAGCGCGAGGCTTGCCGAGCTTTTTAAATAATTAAAATTTTACTGTTGAGAGTGGAGAAATATCGTAATTCACGAGTTATAGTGGTGGAATCTGTGTCTCTAATGATTTTATCCTACCTTTTCAAAGATTTGCAGAAAATTGTGTTATTTATATGTGACGTCATCAGACAAGGTCGCCTTTTTTCATGACGTCACAATAGGAAAAATCAAGAAAATCTGACTTCATAATTAAATTTCGACCAATCATTTGCCGAGAACAGATATTATACTAGTGAGGAGAAATATTATTCTCACACCGATCAAGAAATGTGAAAAAAGTACAAAAATTAGGAGAATCTGTATTCTTCTATTTAGTGTCGAGTTTACTATTGTTTGTTTTAGTCGTTGCTCTCTTTGGCTATATGGTGATGTATTTTTTTATTTGTCTTTTTGATTGCCCCCGTTATAAATTCTTAATCGTTTTATTTTGTTGTTGTTGTTTTTTTTTTTTTTTGTATTCGAATGCACTGATCATAATATAGGCATTCCATTTGATCTGTTTACTAAAAAATAAGATGAAAGGATGATTGCCAATGAGAAAACTATCCATCAGAAACCAAGTAAAATGGGAGTAAACTCTAGGTCATAGAGCAAAACTCAAACTTTGTAATAAAATAAAGAGGTTTCATGACACAATGTAAAACAAATCAAATAAAAAAAAAAAACCCACGTCTTGACTTATGTTAAAACAATAACGAAAATGATAGACAGCAACCGACAACAATTACAAAAAATAAAGGCTCCTGTAAACATGTATAGTTCTTAACAGCTAATGGGTTTATTGTAAAGATCTGAGTAAAGCACTGTGTATTTCAATTCCAACATATAAGTCTCGGCAGAATGTTTAAGACCATAAGTGTTCATAACCTGATAGCCTATTAGTTTATACAACTTATTTGAAGATCTGAGCTTGCTAATCATTTTACTATTAAATGTTTCTGTCTATCTATTATAGTTTTCAAGATAATAGACAAAAACGCAAAACATTCGTAAAAATCAATGACAATAACTCCAATGAGCAATTGACTGACGATTTCGGCAAAGTTTACTTGTTTGTAGATCTTGTCTTGCTGATCCTTTTTGCTATTTTAAGTTTCTCTCAGTCTATTATAATAGATTTTTTAGATAAAAGACAAAAATTCGTCATTTAAAACTCTCATAAGAAGTTTCATATATATGGACAGTAGGTAGATCTAAACATTTTGATCATTTTGCCACGTCAGGTATCGGTTTTCATGAGAAAAGACAAAATTTGCTTGGTACCCCAATGTTCTATTTTTAGCCAAGTCGACAATGTTGGTTGGCAGGCTGGGGTCGTTGGACACAATTGTTAAACTAGATACCCCATTGTTGATTGTGGCCAAGTTTGGTTCTTACTGGACTAGTAGTTTAAGAGAAGATTTTTGGAAAAGATATGGTACGACGGACAATGAAGAAGTGACGAGAATATCTTACTTGGCCCTTTGGGCCAGTTGAGCTAAAAATCGACATTTTCCTCACAAAGACCAGGACTAAAACGAATTGTCTAACTGTTTTCATTTATTATAAAACTTCAGCCAGTTTCTTAAGACAGGGAAAGGACGCGAAAGTTAACAATCACACACTCAAGGTTTTTTTTGTTAAGACCTTTATTAAACACAAATATGCACATTAAACAGTTATGAAAAAAAAAATGATTTAAATAAAATTGAGAATTGAAATGGGGAACATGTCAAAGAGACAATAACCCGACCACGAGCAGAAAACAGCCGAAGGCCACCAATGGGTCTTCAACGCAGCGAGAAAATTCCGCACCCGGAGGCGGGCCTCAGCTGGCCCCTAAATAAAAATGTGTACTATAGTTCAGTGTAAATTGACGTCATACTAAACTCCAAAACATATAAATGAACTTAAATTAAAAAAAACATACAAGACTAACAAAGGCCAGAGGCTCCTGACTTGGGACAGGCGCAAAAAATGCGGCAGGGTTAAACATGTTTTATGAGATCTCAACCCTCCCCCTATACCTCTAGCCAATGTAGAATAAAGAAACACACAGCACAACTCAATCATAACGGTATGTTACTAACAAAAGTATGATTACCATTTTTGATTTTTGTATTTGTTGTACTAATAGGACTTTCAGCTGAGTCGAATCAATGTGTTTTACGGACCAATTGTTACTTTGACACATGTAAATTTATCAAAGCTGTTTCGCAAGTCATTCTAAAACAAATAGAGGTCATTCCCCCCAAAAAATAGGATCACTAGCTGCAACATGATACTTTAATTATACAAAACTACCGACTGGTATCTGGTTATGATGTTTTAACGCAAAGTGAAAGATTACAATTGTGACCTTTTCAATCTAAGGAACAAAAAAAAGAAAATTTAAAATGATTGTCGATTTTTTCATACGTGCATAAGTGTACATTGCTGCAATATACACGACACGTCAGAAATAAGGACAGATTTTTCAGTTGCCATAAACAAAGTGTTTTATAAGACATAGAATAGATCTAAAAATGAGGTGTCCATTAAATATACCAAAAATAGCACAATCATGCATTTCGTTTACTTGTCCTTGCAAGTCGAATATACAATGAAGAATACTATATCAAATTTGAGGAAAAAATCAACGGTCAAAATTGTAATACGACTGATACGAATACGAAAATGAATACGAATAATATGTATTTGTATTCAGGGAGGAAGGTAAAAGTTATGAAAATCCTTTACAACACAAATAAGTGCATTTTACACATCATGCACATTGTGACTTGGATGGAGTTGTCTCATTGGCACTCATACCACATCTTCTTATTTATATGATGTACAATGTTCTGAAATTTAGTAATGTACGATAATTTTATGTTAGATAATCTAAATGATACGTTTAAAACCGAAAAATTAAATTATTTCTTTAGATTTATATTTTTATTTTTTTTTCAAAAATTGCAAAAAACTTAATTTCCGAAATTTCTCCTCTATGAAGCCAAAAAGAAGCTGATATTTCATGAAAATGAAATAAAAGAATTTGGCAACAACACATAAGTATACATATAAAACAGCGTCAACTTAATTTGTTCCAATATTCGGTCCTAAAAAATAACAAATGACGAGTATCATTGAGTGCAATTTAGTCATAGAAAATCCCACTTTTTCTTTCCCAGATTAAATTTATAGCTAACTTTTAATTTACCTGCACATGGATTTCCCTCAGCTTCACATGAACAGTAAATACATTGTTGTTTGCAGACAGACGCAGCCATATGACAACCCAATAAAACCAACAGCCCAGTGTGCACATTCATATTTCCTTTTGGTTTTACTTCCGACCAACAACAACACTATAGAGTCTTATTTCATCTTTAAAGTTGACCTACAACTAAATTACAAATTGAGAAAATATAAACCTCCGTTAGAATCAGGTATCTTAAATAATAATTGAAACAATTTAGAACATTAATACATTGAAAGAAAAAATGAATGTATAAATAAATAACACATAGTGAACTGACAGAAATTTATTTACCATAAGTGTGTTTTCCCCGAATCTCAAACTAAATTTATATCAAGTAGGAGTATATTTATAAGGTACGATTGGGGGTTAATTGATATGGTTAAATTATTTCCTTATCAGATACCCATAAGATATCCTCTGTCTAAATTATAGCATTTCAAAAGATTTTATATGAGTCCAAGCAACACGATGTTCAGACTAACTTACCTGTTCAAATAAATGAATAACACTCCGAAATATACTATTTCAAACTACATTGTAACCTAGATTTAATCGGAAGTCGATGAATGATATTTATCTGCTTAAAATAAAGAAATAAGTGTAACACAACAGCTGTAATTATCTTCCTCGTGTATAACCGTTTAAACGGCATGAATTCTAAGAATGATATTTGACCCGAAAAAGCATGATGTCATGTCATTATAAATCAATGTCGGTTTCCTATTTCCCTATTAAATTTGAGGACAGTTTCAAGTATTTTTTGTTATTCAAATTATACTTTAACAAACTTTGTCGGGAGTCAACTGTTGTGATTACAATAAACAGTACGTTCAATTTTTATTTTAACTTTCAGTTTCAACAACTTTCCCCAATCATTGTTGACATGTTTAGCATGCTTACGGTTTGTAGTCAGCATGTTCGGTGCTGGAGTTACAAACTTCTGTCAGTGTCACCAAGTTGATCTTCTTATTCTTCTTATATCATTATTATTATTAAGTTTAAATTAATATCTATTTGAATTCAGCGTTGAACTTAAATCATGAATATTACAATAAACACCTTATTTTGTGAATACTGGGGGATTTACTTGTATTTTTCAGTGTGGTACCGAGATTACTATGATTAACATTTAATCAAAACTACTATTAGAGACAGCGACTCTTTTCACAAAAAATCTTACGATTAAAATTGATCGTAAGTTATACTGAAATGTGTATAACTTACGAGTATTTTCATTCTTAAGATTTTTTTGTGATAACAGTCGTAGGTTATTTGTAACCTGAAGAGGGGGTGGGAGGAAATTAGTGGGGCCTTGAAATGGGTATCCAATTTTTCAATACTTCAGATGGGAGGGGCATCGAAATCTTTTTACAAAATTTAATCAATTCTGTCTTTCAAACATGCAAATGTTATAGCTCTCGATCAGTATCTGATTATGCAACAGAAGTGTCTAACACTTGATTCAAATGTCACATCTAGATCTTGTGTCATATTTTTTGACTTCAAACTTCATTTTAATGTAAAAGATTTTATGCATGTAAGTCATGACCGTCTTCTGCTTGTTTGTTGAACATGAAGAATGACAATAACGGTTTGATGTCTTTGTTTTTGCAGGTAATCTCAAAGGTTTTCTCAACATTATACCCCTTTTCTATATAATAAATACACTGATAATATTAACAGTTATTTCCGTACATGATTAATCGTAAAAATAAAAATAAATAATCATATATTTTGATGGTTCTAGGAGTAAAGACTTTAAGTGTGGCATTAATAATATGTCTTAACGTGAATAATTTTCCTTTGTGACCTGGAGATAAGGAGTCAGGCAACCCACACACAACGCTACCCCTTTTAATAAAAAAAAACGTTTTTTTTTGGTAGGAAAGACATAATTTTGTTTTCGTCTCGCTCCATTCGGCTCAACTGTTCAGATAAAAATCCTTAAGTTTCAACATGTTCTTCCAGGAAAGTATTTCTATCTGAAGTTAATTTACCAACTTCTTTGATACAGGATAAGGAACAATATGCTGAAGTTGAATGACGATGTGGTCACTGAAGTTGAATGACGGTGTGGTCACTGAAGTTGAATGACGGTGTGGTCAATGAGATCATAATATGTATATATCTAGATAAAGTTCCCTGAAGTCACAAACAATTTCCCCACTTTAAGCTTTATTTCCACTACTGATGCACTATTTTATCGAATAATAGTGACATAAATAGAAATTGTATGCATATATTTTTGTTGTAAATATTTGAAGAATTGAAACTCTCCATGTTTGTGGAAGGGGATCTTAAATTTATTTTTCTTCTTCACGGTGAGGACTTGAAAAAATTAAAGAAAATCAGATGTTTCATGCCAGCCCCCTACCCCACAATGAAAGAATATGACCAGTCCCTAAGATACTAGTTTTACGAACCGCAACTCCTCTTATATAATGTACTACAACATTGCATTAAGCTAAGCACTCCCTAAATTGTACGGTCACCATCATGAATGTGTTGACGGATACGATATCTATGTCTCTATCGACATGCGTTCTCACTGTTAGATCTTTAGATAGCGGAATAGTCGTCCAGTCTATGATATCGACATGCGTTCTCACTGTTAGGTCTTTAGATAGCGGAATAGTCGTCCAATCTATGATATCGACATGCGTTCACACTGTTAGATCTTTAGATAGCGGAATAGTCGTCCAATCTATGATATCGACATGCGTTCACACTGTTAGATCTTTAGATAGCGGAATAGTCGTCCAATCTATGATATCGACATGCGTTTACACTGTTATATCTTTAGATAGCGGAATAGTCGTCCAATCTATAATATCGACATGAGATCACACTGTTAGATCTTTAGATAGCAGAATAGTCGTCCAATCTATGATATCGACATGCGTTCTCACTGTATGATCTTTAGATAGCGGAATAGTCGTCCAATCTATGATATCGACATGCGTTCTCACTGTTAGATCTTTAGATAGCGGAATAGTCGTCCAATCTATGATATCGACATGCGTTCACACTGTTAGATCTTTAGATAGCGGAATAGTCGTCCAATCTATGATATCGACATGCGTTTACACTGTTATATCTTTAGATAGCGGAATAGTCGTCCAATCTATAATATCGACATGAGTTCAAACTGTTAGATCTTTAGATAGCGGAATAGTCGTCCAATCTATGATATCGACATGCGTTCTCACTGTTAGATCTTTAGATAGCGGAATAGTCGTCCAATCTATGATATCGACATGCGTTCACACTGTTAGATTTTTAGATAGCGGAATAGTCGTCCAATCTATAATTTTTTACTTTTATGTCATTTTTCTCAATTGTGACATTTGACTGAGTGTGGATTAGTATGGTGGGTAAGGCATGTATAGCATGTTGACACACCCGGTCTTGCTTCTTTTGAAGGGCATGCGATTCCATCAGTATTCTTTTGTAACATTGATTCTCAACTTATTCTACAAATGATATGTGTAGATCGGTTAACTGTTGGTAACTTAATTTTGTAAAAACTCAAAGCGTTGACACGTAATTTTTAACAAGATACTTCATAGAGAATAGTCCATAGGAACATCTACCCTGACACCATCATATATAATACTCCGAGCATACCAGTATTTGCTCTGATCTTCACCATAAATACCCGGAGTTCCTGGCAGACAAATACAAATTTTCTGAGTTATTGGTCGGTATATAACCTACGACTTTCCGCACTCTACGAAAACACGCAATAACGAGACCATTAACTTTAACATTAACTAAAGGTGGTACCCAACACCTTGACTAATATTAATTTGGCTCGTTTAATTTTCATAAAATGTTGACAAAATGTTTACTTTGACCCTTTGACAAAAATATAAAAATTTCAAAAAATTTGAACCAACCACTTTAACAGAAAAATTTCATTGGTTATATAGCAGTTTGACAAACCCATATTTTGATCATTGAGAAGCTTAATATTTCCTTAACAATACAACGTAATTAAAACGTTTAGCTGATTTTTACAGAGTTATCTCCCTGTAGTGTTAGGTACCACCTTAAACACTAACTGGTTCACATGAAAATTTGTCCTACATTTAAGATACAAGATTCATATCTTGGTTAAAACAAAGCAATCTAGAAAACAGTATCTGAATTAAACAGCAACAATGTTTCTTTTGTTTGCCCCATTCATGTATGGTACCAATAAACGTGCAGACTCTTAGCCATCATACAACATGATTAAATAAAAGATATGTTGCCATGATGTACACGTTTATGAGATAACAACCAGACGACACGTAAAACTAAAAGGTACCAAGAGGACAACACATATTTGTACAGCCTTCGACAAGTCAGGTGTATAAACAGACTTAGTCTTAGGTTATTACAAAATATATATTTTAAAAATAATGTCCTGATTGTGTCCTATTTTATATAGTGACAGTTTACCTGATTGGGAGTTCAGTGGCTGGTTATGCACGCATATCATAAGACGCTTACCCTGTAGATTAACTCGGTCTCGCTCTGTGATCTTACCAAAAAAAAACTACAAATGTTACATACATGTAGAAATAGATGTGAAATAACTATTTATACAATTTTTCTTTTTGGCACATAATTACATTATAAAAATTATAAATAATGAAGGTATAAATCTAAAGGTAAGCATTATTAGTATTGTAACGTCAGTTTTGGTCCAGTTTTCTAAAAATTTAGAATTAACAATTTTTAGTACAAAAAAAAATTGGTCGCAACTTCTGATTAAAAAAATGGTTTTGTCTACTGCTAGAGATTCAATATAAGCCTTCGCACGTTATGGTAACCGAAAATTTTGGATCGTGGGTTGTGGCAAAGGTTTAGGCACAAAATCATCGTATTTGCAATTTCTCCAAAATAAGCTATCTTATGAATCTACAATTTACTTTTTGACGGGTTTTGTTTTACTTAACATTTTAGCTTTTGAAATAGATCTATATAAGAAATTGTGGCCTTTTGAAAGTTGACATTCAAGGCATTATCTTGCCAAAAGTGCACCTTATCCTATGGCATCAAGTTGTCGTTGTTTTATATACATCTTGGCATGAATATTACAGTTTTGAGTGTGATTCCATCAATTGGTCATTCGCAGAGGAAATTTCATGTTTCTCCTTTTATTCATTGCTAGATTGTTGCTGTTTAACGACACTTTCAGCACTCATCGTAAGTCGTGGCTATGGAACGCCACAGCTGTCTTATGTGGAACTCTGATATTACGTTATGTTGTTCTATTATTACTTGATGATAGTTTGTCTTTACATAATATGGTTTTGACATTACGTAATGATGTTTTGATATAACTCAATATGGAAAAGTCATTACTTAATGATATTCCGATATTACATGATATGGTTTCGATTGACTTGATATAGTTTTGTCATTACTTAATATGGTTTTGTCATAACTCGATGTGGATTCACCATTATTTAATGTAGTTGTTTCATTACATGATGTGGTTTTGTTATTTCGTAATGATGATTTGCCAATTCTTTATATGGCTTTAACATTACGTAATGATGTTTCAAAATTTGACGATTTTACACTACATGATGCGTTTGTTTCAGTATTTGATGTGGTCATGTCATTCTTTGATGTGGTCATCCCATTACTACTACGAAGTAAAACCATGTGACCATTTTGGAAAAAATGTGTTCTATTTTAGA